CTCTTATAAGGTGAACAACAGGCTAACAACTCGGATGGAAAACTGATGCAAACGGGGCACTAATGTTATAAGTAAATGGACCGGGCTGTGATTTCAGGTTGAAAAGGAAGGAGCGTGCTGCAGAGATTATGTTCGGGTGTCATTGACATCAGGGCTTATATCGGGCTGTGTCAGGTGAATATTGTGTTTGAGAGGCCTGCTGCATTAGGTTGAGTACTGTATTGGGGGGATGCCTCAGAACGGGCGGGTCGTTCGACGCCGCGGCCCCATCACCGATCGCACGCCAAGGCCAGCAGTGCGTCGGCCCGGCCTCCGTCAGCCAGCTCAGGATAATCTGCCGATGCAAGCTATTGACGTGCTACAGCACACGGCTCCGTATTAGCGGCTTAAGGTGTCAGGGATGATTGTTCGTTAATTGTCAGCGGGTAGCCGCAACACTAGTCGTAACGCCGACATCGACACCTAAGGCTCCACCACTGCACTGGGTCAGTCACTGAGATGGACTCTTGAGAACGAGGTCACAATTGTCACAGGCGTGAGCGTATACAAAAATAACTGGGACCTTTTAACAAGAAAATTGAATCAAATTTAGATAAATGGGTCATTTCTGTTCACCGTTCACTGCTCAAGAACTAGCGAGGGCACCTGTGTTGCGTTGCCGAGAGGAAACGGACAAATCTATTCCATTGTAGGTATTGTTTGTGTGTGTGTGTAGCATGCAATTCATGCCTTTTATATTCGTATTATTCGGTATAACCAATTTGTGATGCGCCACGCTATCTGAAAATCTTTATCGTCCAGTCCGCCTTATCATCTTCATTGCATAAATATCACCATCGCAGGCGAGTCAAAGCAGACTAATTGCCATTTTGACGATGCCTGGTTAGCCGTACCTTTCCCACCTACATACCAAACCGCAGGTCCACCTATGTATATCCGCCTCGGTGCCGCTCTAGACGGGACGGCGAGCTGATCCCGAAGTCAGGAGCTCATTAAACCGACCGACGGCGACAGAGAAGACCGTCACTAGAGGTGACTGGCGGTGCAAAAAGCGACACCGGCTAATTCGCCTAACTGTAAGTATAGAATGAGTGAGGAAATAATCCGCACTCATCCAGCTGGTAGAGCGATATCGCAATGCGAGCATATCCTTGCTCAGGTTGTACAGGTTAAACCTTTGTTGCGACATTATCATTTGGTCATCCAGGGACAAAATTAATCTGAATCGGTGCGTCAGATGATCTCCGCGGCAAAACGTCACCATGCATTTTGGTGTCAATGTTCATTCTGTTCGTTTCGACTAAAAGGCATCTAACTATTTCCAATCGGAAAAACGAAACGTACGGTGACTGGGATAGTTCATTTTTTCCGTAACAAATTATGTGTTTTCCCAATGGGACACTATGCGTCGGGATTCCAGTTTTAACTGCACCATAATCTCTAATTACCGCATATGGTGCACCTGCTCTCCAAACTCAGCTGCTGCTGTGGTAAATGGCAACATTTTGAAGTCATCGCTCTTTTAGCCTTGAACGCAGTATTTCTCTGTCCTTGAGCATTGATCTTAGTCTGCCCTTGATTTGACATCCTGAAATCTCGGACAATAGCGAATCATCTCCAGGTCCGTTTAGCGGTCGGCATTATACAGTGCTTAGCATATCTTCTGCACAAGATGACTGGAATACGATGGATGGTATCTGGTCTTCGGCACTTCAAGGATTTTCCGTTCGTCGGTCGCTGCTATGGGGTACGGCGCTTCGGAAATTGAGGATTAGCGATGTACGGAGCAGGCTTCTGGGTTTCCTACAAAGTTGAAAGAAAAGGTTAGTGGTTAGATGTAAAATGTATGTACAGCAGCATTGAGCTTTCTTCGAAATACGAAAAGTAGCTCGGCCCACGCTCCGCTAGCAAAGCCTCGGGCACCGAGTGATGAATCGGGATAAAAGGCTTTCAACGATGAGTATATATTCTGAAGATGTTCTGTAGTTGGGGATATGGGAGCAGACACACAAAATAGGTAGTGAGTGCGCCGTGTCTTTCGGACTAACTATAAGTCACACTTTGTCTTTTAGTTTTCCTGATTACCCCCCCCCCCCCCCATTTCCGCAATAGGTACCACAGCCAGATTTAGATTTCTTATTTTAACATCGTATTTTTTGTGCTGCAAGAACAGTGCCTTCGATCTGGCAGAACACGTACCGAAGAGGTGCATGTTTTCCTTCCATTTAGAAAAAAATATGCTGCAATAAAACCTCATGCATCAGAAGAAATGTTTGCAGAAAACGTTGTTATATTAAAGCATAGAAAACTAAAGGTAACCAATATTCTATGTTCTGTGATTAATGATATCCATAACTCACCCAGTCACCAAGATAGCAATGCCTCAAATGATGCTATGGATTATGGTGCTTATTTACAATGCTCTCATCACCAGAAGACAATGTTTTTAAAAAAACGTTTGGCCTTCATTTAACCTATGAATGTCCATGAAATCATCATCTTCAACGACCGACACTGTTCTATAATGTCTCCTTTTCATCATTCGTTTTTCCAGCTAATTAACGGTGCGCTGACGTCATCACCAGTATCTGATCAGCGTCCTAAAATATCGGCTATCAAAACCAGGATTTTTGTGTCCCGCTTGCTGCCAACCTTCCTAGATCCGCAGTTTCTCGGCCGGCCATCACAAGCTGCGGTTATGCGAAATATGAAGTGTCCATAAAATGTTCCAAAGACGTGTGACCGTTGTGGCGGGTTCCAATCTCCTCGGTAGGAGCGCCCACACACGGTAGTTTGAGTCATCAAGACCAGACAAATTTGAGAATTGGGGAGCCCTTGAACCTGATGATTAAAAATAATAAGTAATTTTCACTTGTTCAAAGACTAACTAATTTGTATACAGTTGGGAGAAGTGACGCTAGCTGGCGCTTTTGGCTGGTACAATACGTAAAGGGGAGGCATACGCTCAAATTTGCAGCAATATGGCGATGACTTCTTGACACCTTCATAACCAATTGCACCAACAGTACAACTTCGTTCGAAATACGAAAAGTAGATCGACCCTCGCTTGCCATGGTCCTTTTGGTCCCTTGAACACCACTGGATCAACAGAACTAATTGACATCAGTGACGTCACACTGAGTCCCTTTCTGGAGAATCTGACACCTGCCATCACTAATGACGCGCACAATGACACCATGACGTGGCCTTTGCCATCCATTTGGCACACACCCCGTGTACTACAAAGTGAAAACCCGTGCTCTAGCGGCAGGGGTGCGGTATCTTCATACGACGCCCATGTCAGGGTCAGGACTCAGGACCATCGATTTGTGATCCCTGAAAATGCGTAAAATCGAGGTAAGGCGCGGCAACCTTTGCAGTCCACCTACACCTGTTTAAACAGTTGTCGAGGGTGGGCTGTCACCGATTTAGCTTTCAAGTTGCAGTGTACCTATTTATTTAAAATTTCCTCCTTCTGATATAAAAAAAAACGATAACAAGAACCAACGCTCCATTGATAGTCCCCACTGAAGTGTTAATTTACTTGTATCTTTCCGACCATAATAAATATGTGCAAGCTTAACTTCATGATTATGAATGTTTTAAATAACGCTTAGACATCAGACATGGACACCTGAACATCGAAGTACACTTACGTACATAGGTCTTTTACTTAGACAATATCAGTTGTTTATTTAAATTTTCTGATGTCTTCCAAAAAGGGTATGATGGTTTTTATGAAAATTCATTGAAGTAGACGGGCCATTTTTTAGATTGAAGGTGAATTTTTATATTTGGAGAACAATTTCGAGTCTCTTTAGATGCGTAAACCGGCATATAAACCCTGGCTCTGTGCCAATTTTGTTCTGACGTGTGTCTGACGTCATCTGTCGGAGGTAAGTCAGATATATAACATCCTGCTCGGGTAGCCAATTGACGCGCCTTTAGCTCCGATGCGGAGCTCAGACCTCAGCTCTCTCCATGCCCCTTACTTCGCGCTGCCACTGACTTATAAAACTCTCTTGGTAAATCGCCCCAGATGACACACTGAAAGACCTCATGCTGCGTGCAGGCTGCACCCAACAATGCTGCCTTGAGCTGCAGTTCACGACCATCGGTCGGCAAATGCACGTGTTGCCAAAGTGCGCGGCCGGTTGAGACACCGCACGTGCGGGGACCCGAGACGACTCACTCTCTCGCCGGAGCCGATATCCGCCGCCGCGGGCCATAACTTCACGCCGACGGGGACGGGACCCGACAGAGGAGACGCCGTTTTTATCGAAGACCGATCACGGTGGACCGCGGAGTGGCCGGGTGAACGTGCCGAGTAAACACAACAACCACAAACGCAACTGAACCCGGGGCTGGTGGACCACCTACTATCTTCAGTTGCCACAGACTAGCGCAGCGGCGCGGGATTCGCCACAAACCAACGCATCCCCGCAGGGCCTCAGTTGTGTGTTGGTCACAGCCACAGACACAGGGCCATTCATCCGACGTCTCAACTACGCCGCTAGTCGGCATTGCATTCTAAGGATCTACACATGTCGATAATCTGTCAATTTGAGATGCAAGACTGCCGAAGACTGGCTTTGGAACGTGCAGCACACACTGTTTTTTGGCCTTGGATTTGGCCAGCCGGTACGTTCGGCTAATGCAGTGCATATCTCGCCAGTCCCGGGTACGATTGTTCAGATAATCTCCTGTTGATAGCACCTAATCAGTGAACGGGCATTGCTGAAATTGTCCATGCATACTTATTGACGAGCATCCGGCATTGGCTCTTTAGCTCCTTATGCTGTTGTGTTGAATTATCCGTGCTGCTGAAATAATTAACTATGTAATGCGATATGCTCTCTGCATTTGGGATGCTTCCTCGAGTACTTGTGACATGATTCCTAATATTACCTACGAAGTCATTTGGAAGATGACTTCATTCCATATTTCATACTACCGAGATAACCGGTCATCTTTCCTACAATTGTTAATCTGCCCCTCACCTTTTCTCTGCCAATGCAGGGTCTCGCGGCGCTGCTGGGGCGACTCCTGTGGCGGCCGTCCCTCCGTCACTGACCTAGCCAATAGCCCGCGGCGTCTGTCTGTCCGTCCGTCCCGGAGGTGAGGTGGCGCCCCTCCCTTCCCTCCGCGGTCCGGCGCCGTGGGTATTTTTACACGCTCTGTGTCACCCGCGGTGACGACGGACGGCGGAGCGATCGACAGCGCCGTGCGCCGCCCCGGGGCTCTATTCCGGTCACCGAGAGCTGTCAGACGCGTCGCGGCGCGGTCACGTGGTCAGCCGACACCGGAGCCGACGGCCGGCTATCCGGGCCGCCCCCCCCCCCCGCCCCCCCCCCCCCCCCCGCCGGCCCCCTTACACCAGACGACACGCACGTCATTCGGGTCAAGGCGCTGTCAGGGGGCGCGAGTGGCCGCACTCGTCTTCCCGTCACCGCCAGGATTGGGGCCAGGATTGGGCGGCCGCACCGTGGGCAACCGGTCCACCTACCGAGGAATTTCACGTCTTCGTAGCACGCTAGTGAAAATATTTCAAGGTCATGGTTTTGGCAAAATATATAAGGCACCCTGCATAACCCCGCCATGGAACATCAAAGTAAACATGTAACCAATATAATAGAACGATAAACAAACGTCTGCAGTTTGGGAGGTTAAACGGTTACAAATATAACTCTTAGCATTTTGACATTATTATATTATGTTACAAGCGTTTCGTGACTCAGTCATACAATATCGAGAGAGCTTCGAGAATCCACGTACGTTCTATAAACTCTTGCAGCGGGACACGACCAGCGGGCCACAGCAGCCAAGCAGTAAACAGCACACAGATGACCGAGTTTAGGTAATTTTAGAGACAAACCGTGGACGAATAAGCAGGCCCTGGGTTCAAGAATCGAGCCTTGGGGCACTCGCAATCCAAGCGTTGTGAACAGCGACAGTCCGCCAGCTATCACAGCCAACTCTTTCGCTCTATCATAAGATTATATATGCTCCTCGATGATATTAAACTCTGAACCAGGAAAAGGTACTGATAGATTTAGAAGATACACTTTTTTGGCATAATGACATGATCTAAGCAGGCTATAAATTATCGGGAAATAATCATGGAATATTTTTGTTTGGACGATTTGTTTAAATTATTTTATGTTTGAAACGCAGGTATTCATTGATAAAAAGCTGTTATATTTCGGCATCCAAAAGGTGTTGTGTTTCACATACCTACAGCAATGCGCAATGCGACATAGCTATCCACTTGGGGAGCCGTTGTGCGCCATTTCGTCAATCCATCATTCTGAAATACTCGGACACTTGGAGTCTTCCAAATGACGGCTATCGTTAAGGATCCGTGCCCAGTTCCACTGAACAGTGGCCATTGCCTACCTTCATTGAAACGCTTCACGCATGCCATCTACCGCTAACACAGCGAAGCTTTGCAGTGCCCTCTGCACCGTGTGCATGCGTTGCAAGTTAGCCCACATGTAATCTCAGTAACAATCCCTGCGCAAACCTTGGATTCTTCGATATTCACGCACCAGTTCGACGCTTCACGTCAGTTAGCGCACGGTGTCCTCACTGAGCTCCAGGGTCGTCCATGGACGACCTTGGTCGCTAACTTTGAGTAAGCCTTCAGCTCTTTTTGCTCTATGTGACTGTAGGTAGGTCATCTAGGATAACTGCTCAGTCCGGGGGAAACCTAGCGGTGATAACGAACCGGACTATTTATCTTTGCCTGTAACAGACCCCGATCATGGCCATGGACCCGACCGGACCGCCTCCAGGGGCGCGTCTCCCACCCGACCTTGACCCACCAGAAGGCCGCGCTCTCATCCTGATGAGCCGGCCTGATGGCACTCCACTGCGAGGGAACCCGTTCGCCATCATCAGGGAAATCCGCTCGATCTGTGACTCGGAAGTCGAAAAAACCAAACAACTCGGATCTGGCAAAATTCTCATCTCGACCTTCAACAAATACCAAAGCTCTGCCCTTCTCTCCTGCCAAACCATGCTCGGAAAACCTGTTTCGGCTGTTCTTGCAACCAACCTGATGTCATCGCAGGGTCTCATTCACTGTCCGGACCTCAGCGACCTCTCTGACGAAGAGCTCCTCACCGAACTAGCCCCGCAGGGTGTTATCGAGGTGCAGAGGCTCAAATCCAAGGACCGAACTCCAAACCCCCTGATTCGACTTCGCTTTAAAGGACTCGATCTCCCAAGAAAGCTCCTCTGCGGGTACCTCTCCGTCCCTGTTCGACCCTGGATCCAGCTGCCAAGGCAATGCCGTAGGTGCTGGAAGCTAGGCCACTCCATGCGCTCTTGCCGACGAAAAGAGACAGTCTGCGGGCAGTGCTCTGCCAGGGACAGCCACCCCACAGGTGACTGTACCTCGGTCCCAAAGTGCCCTCTCTGCTCTGGTCCACACCCAGCATGGGACCGAAACAGCTGCCCCGTCTGGAAAACCACCAAACGAGACACTCGAGAGCGAGCGCCATTCCAACCCCCGCCGCTCAACTCCACAGCTTGGCCTCCACTTGAGAGTCAGCACCGAACGATGCAGCCCCCTCCGGCTCGCACAGACGCCTCTGTCCAGACAGATGGTGAGGTCATGGCCCCTAAGGCGACCGCAGTCCCTGTTCAGACCCAGACCGAGACAGCCAGCTCTCAGACGACCGACGCCAGCACCCAAACGACCAAACTGACCACCTTCGACTCGACCTCTCAAACTCGACCCGCCCGACTGGTCTCTGCCGAAGTCCAGACTGACACCCCCGACTCACCGACACCAACCACGGACCCCGACGACTTCGGCTGCTCTCGAAGCAGGCCGTTCACCCGAGGCTACACGGCGAGCTTCCAGCCTGACAGCCCCCGAAACGACACCGACGATCCCGATCCAGACCTGATCCCGAAGAGACGTCCCAGGGGTGAGATCCCTCCACCTGACATCGGGTCGCTGAAGTTTGAGTACGCCAGCGGCAGGCGACTTTCCTACCCTCCCTCCACCCTCTACTGGTTTGACCATGAAATCCGACTATACGACCTTGACCTTCGCCCAGAATCCAAAGCGTACAGGGCAGCCGTGGCTGGCTTCTATTTTGACGGACCCCCTCACCACGGACGCCGTATCTTCCTTCAGAGAATTCCTCCAACGGGTAACCACTAGCCCTACCAACATCGCTGCCTAGGAGTCGAGCTATGCCTCACGGCTACTCCTCCAGAGCCACCAAATTCCAGTCAAAGTTGTACCCCTGAGACGGGCGGGACATGACTGGGGCACCCGGGTCACACCGGCTGCCATAACCCGCTGGCTGTCTCACTCGGTAGGCCGGTTTTTATTTTGGCCGATCCCTGCGAACAGCCTGCGCAATTACACTTTCACTGTCCACATTAGAGATATAACGTAACGTAACTATTGCGGGGATTTTTACTGTACTCGACAGTTTTTGCCCCTTGACTTAGGCACCAGGTTTTTTCTAGTTAGGACTTTTCCTGGTAAATACATCCCACAACAAACATCACACATTGCAACACCTCACACCATCAGCAGCAAGATTTACAGCAGCAAGTATGAATATTCTACCCCTTTCTGGACACCCTTGCCTTGTTAATCGGACGCCACATGAGCCGAATTAAAGTAAAGTTTGCTTCTCTCTCTTGCTTGGGTCAGAATTAAATAGCTGACAGTAAAGTAAAGTAAAACGAAAGATCTGGCTCATTGCCAGCCTTAGTAATTTCCCCTTCCCTGGCGGTTGCCTTAGGCATGCCGGGAAGACTAAATTTAAAAAAAAAAACTCAGTAACAATGTAATTCCGAGACCTCTGCGCCATAAAAAGTGAACGGGTTATTTGTACTTGAGCCGGATATCAGGTAGAGGGACAAACGTCTTATCGGAGTAATATTGGTGAGCACTTTATCGAAATGTCGAGTGTTATGCATAATTGGCTTTCGAAAATAATAAAAGGAACTACCTAATTGAATGGTGGCATTTACCTACTCCTTTAATCGATTAGTGTTATAATCTTTTGATCGCCAAGAATCGAGACGGCGTAGATCTAAATGAGGATAAGTTGAATTATAATCATATACATAAGACATTTACGCATTCACATGTATCAAGTGACGGAGCCAATATCCTCACATTAGCACACTTTTATTTTTGAAACGCGTATGTTCCGAAAAAAAAAAACGAAGCTTCAACGGTGGGGTTGGCCGAAACGGGCTAAACAGTGTTCTTTATAGGCGACTGGGTGCAGCGAGCAGTGATGGAGCTCGAAGTAAACTTCATTGAATCCCTTTGGCTTTTGCAGCCTGCAATGGTCGAAGTCGTTTCTAGTGAGGCCTTCACAATTGACGGCTGACCGACAGGCCCACAGTGCAGAACACGATGGACAAACCCGCCGGTATTTGGCTCCAGCCTGGATTACACCTACTCTGTTAGTCAGAGATTCGACAGGCCAACCACACGGCCATTCATCAGCTCATGTATGCCTAATGGCTTCGTGCACTTGCGGGTTTCGCTTGGAGGTCAGCAGGCAACAGCCACCAAGGTCGTCTCAAGAAATACTCAATGAAAACTTAGCCTCACGTATCGTATCCATATGAATGTAAATGGAATGATGATTCAATTCGTAAGAAAATTCAATTCTTATACTGTTTAATTATTTTTATCTTCACTTCGCCTGTCAGTGGGGCTTGTCCCTGTTGGTGATTTTGGTAGATAAACAAACAAACAAATAAACAAAATTGGTGGTATGGCTTTGTTGAAAGCTGGATCTGTTGTCCCGTAGAGACATTAAGTGAGTGCTAAGAGCATTTTCCGGACAGCATATTTCTTCCCAGATTTACACACTGCCATCCGTATTCAAACAATGCTATCTGCTATCTAGTTAATCGTTATCCTCCTCAGTCCTCAGGATCTCCTCACCGCACACTGGCTCCTCGGACCGCAGCATATCTACTCTGAGGTGACATACATACATGCTACATGAAATATCTCCACTGATAAGTATTGGACATCACGGTACCAGCCACTGCACTTGAACAGGACGACCTCACAGACGTCCCTACACCGACCATGTCAAGGGTGACAATGTAGCAGACCAGCTAATTTGACCAGGCAATGTCAGCACTACTTTTCTAGCTACCTGGGTCAGACGTTTCTTTACTTTGCTAGCTACCTGAACCGGACAACGTCCCCTCACCAATTACCCGCGCGAGCTCCTACCACTATCACGACTGCTACGCTCGCTGCGTCCGCTGCCATTGTCCACCGTGACGACCACCGGTCACGGTTCCGTGACCCCGTGCCTCCCCGTGACCCGTGCCGTGACGCGCCGGTCCGGCAGGCTGCGAACCCGTGTCCTCGGACTATCAGTCGGTATCTAATCAGCGCCGTGTCGCTGACAGCCCGTCGACAATGGCCGACGTTCGTCCGGCTCGCCGCGATACGACCCGGCACTTCTGCTAGTGTTGCGAAGTTTAGGAGGGACAGTCGGGTGGGCGGAAGCCACGCCTTTCCCTGGTGTTCATAGACGACCCGTGAACTTCAGCTGTGAGTGTTAGAATTGATTGTGGTGAATATAAAGAGGAAATAGCTCGAAGGTATTGCGATTTGGATTGCGCAGCGTGGCGGCTGGCGGCGCACGACAAGTGAAGTTGGTAATTGACGTCGGTCTATACTGGTGGTGTTCCCGTGTGGTCACTTGTGAAAATCTTCAGTGGCAGTCGAGCATGGCAGATTGAAAGTGAGCCAGTGAAGTGACAGAATGTGTTTCTAACTCATAGTCAAACGGTGCGGGTCTATGGTGAGCCAGTGACTTTCGTTGACCTCAGACGGAGCGAAAATCTTCCAGTGACAGCTTTACCAGGGCGACCGCCGAGCGTTCTGGAGACAAATCGGTCCTGTAGTGAAGTGCAGTCTGAAGTGACGTTCCGGCCTGGAGCTGCCTGGATGCCCTAGTGGGCCCAGGGTTATACAATAGTGTGGTGCGTTTGCAAGTCGCGAACCCCAGGTCCTGAGCATTACACCGGAGTCCCGGCCGGTCCTTGCCGGCCGCACACGGCAACTAGATGTGGTCCCTCTCCAAACGGTTCCGCAAAATGTCGCCCTCCGCCGTCGAATCAGAGGAGAAGGAGGTAAGAGACGGAGTGAGAAAGAGAGAGAGAGAGAGAGAGAGAGAGAGAGAGAGAGAGAGAGAGAGAGAGAGAGAGAGAGAGAGAGAGAGAGAGAGAGAGAGAGAAGGAGTTGAAAGAGGGAGAGAGGGAGGGGACTGAGGAAAATTGCTTGTACTGACCAGATGCCGAGGTCTGCATATGTATAAAGTTTCAATGACTTGCGTTTCTTCTTTAGGATGCGCGTCGTTTCCTGTAATCTGCGGTGATATAACACCTTCGCACACGTCATGTTTCTGTTTCAGCCTAGTGGTCTGCGAGCAATCTGGATTACTTACAAATGATAAGATATTTGGCCATCCCAAAGCGTTGCACATCATTGTAGATTGTGGTAGGTACTTGAACTGTCAAAATGTTTTCGTCAATGTGAATTTTCTATGTACTCACCGTCTGTCATTTTTTCGCTTCAGAATCTCGACCCTGAAGTGATCTTCACCAGAGAGCGCAAGATCGGCAAGGGGGCGTTCGGAGAGGTGTTTAAAGGCATTGACAACCGAACTGGCCGGGTGAGTGCGAAAACTACTGAATTTGAGCTCAGCCACAGACTTATCTAATACGAATTAGAGCTAAAGAGAGGAACCTGAGCCTCAGCAGGTCCCTTCTCTGCTCTCTCTCCGCCTGGTTGTGACCATCTACCATCTTCCTCCCCGTGTCACGAGAACTCCTGTGAATACGAACCATTGTTTGTCACCAAGGCTGCCTTCATCGGTCGGGCACAGGACACTATCTTCACTATCTTCTGCCTTCTAAGTCCAATCGATAGTATGAAAAGCAAAGGGGTTTAGGCATGAGTGTGGCCTTCCCAACTGAGGACGTCGAATTTGATGCCGTGCTGAAAAAAATAGATACCTACCTATGTGTGACAGTGGCAACTATCGATATTATATTCATGGTACACTGCAACACGTTTCTTTTTATCGGAACACTAAACCACAACCCATATCTCAATGGCTCATGTCTTACGTAACTTCTGTATTGTTTTATGGCGTTACTTAATGATAAAAGTCCGTGTTATGACACCTTTCAATAGTGCCGCGTTCGTTACAAGTCAATACTTGGAGAATACAGTAAACTTTGTAGGTACGATACATATTGCAAAACGAATTATAGCTTTAGAATGTCTGATAGGATAACGTGTGCTGTATGGTTATTATCTCCCTACCCTGGCCTGGCATCGATGGGACTGGTTTATTCTGAGCATTGTTGCAAATTGCAAGAGAAAATAAAATTTATTTCCTGGACGTTTTGGAGGGTCAATTAATAAGTTACGAAAGGATGCTTATAACACCATACATGGCGGTTGAAACAATATGACCATGGGACTTGAACGAAAAGCCGTATGGGGTGTAGGTATGTCGGTTATTGAGCTCAGATAAATGTATACTTAAGATCTGGTTGCTGCTCGTTTCTTTACTCCTGTTGTGAGTTTTTCTCGACGAACGTTCTTTGCATCATTTTAGACGAAAATTTTTAAGACGATCGTCTCACATGTAGGGTTAGTTAAATCCTATAATAAGACGCATGCGTATCATAGAAAACTGGGCAAATGTGTGATTGTAAGGAAAATTTACATCTTAGCGATGATTCATGATTTCGTGCTATGGATAGTGGACATTCTGTCCGTTCGTATGTTTTTTTTTTTGTTATGTGACATATGACAACGTTGTCGTAACACCTAGGCATTCGTGACCATAGTTTACATCGTTACAGTGACCCTGTCGGTGACGCCGGGTCCTCTAATCTTCTGATCTCTCAGGTTGTTGCCATCAAGATCATGGACCTGGAGGAGGCGGAGGACGAGATCGACGATATCCAGCAGGAGATCACGGTGTTGTCACAGTGCGACTCACCCTACGTCACCAAGTACTTCGGATCCTACCTGAAGGTCAGACCAGCGACAGCGCTTACTTCAATTGCGCGATATGTAGGTACAGAGCTGTTTGCTTACATGGGAATAAAACCTGACTATTTTTAGAAAAGCATATGCGGCAATTAGAAATGTAATGACAAGGGTTCAAATTTGAACAATTCTTTTGAAATAATAAATATGATTAATAGGTAATGCTTCCGTTTTACGACACGAGTACCTATAAGTGAGATGCAAAAGAGCTAAAAAAAAGATAATTACATTACAGGTTTTTTCGCTTAGTTTAATTTCCATATTTAGTCAGGCTTATCATATCCCTTTCATAGGATACATAGCATGATTAATGTACCATTTTTGCACAAGGGTATTGAACTATTCAAAATAAATGATAAATATCAAATAACTATACATTGAATAACAATAACATAAAAATATAACATGCATAATAAATAACTGACATGATAAATAACTAAAAACAAATAACTATACTTTTATTTCAAATGAAGCCAACAATTAGTTTATTATCTACAAGACACAGATCAGCCGGTGTCTCTCAATGGGGTTGGGAACTCGATTTTTTAAGAATGTATAGAAATGATCAAACTGTTTTCGCAGAATTTATGCTGCATACAATTTCCTCATGAAATCAATATGCTGAGAGAAATGGGGGAAGACAGATAGAAAACATGTTTTTTAAGGTTCTTGAAAAAGACGCTCTTGATGCTGTTACGTCACATGTCAGTTTCTGCGGTTGACAAATAACGGCGCTGGGCGCATCTGGCGCACCACCGATTACCTACATGTTATTTCTATGTGTGAAAAAGGTTGTTTGTTTCATTCTGCCATCCGCGCTGTTTTTAGCTTTAAATCATGCTAAATCATTCACGGATGAAAGGTTCAGTGTCAAAAATTGATGCTCTGCCGTGTACTGTTCCCATTTAACATTGAGCGCGTGGTAAACATTTTGTGAACCTCGAATTTTCAAATGAAAAACATGATGAATCGGAAGATGCTGAAGGGCAAAAGCCTTTCCAATACGCATTTGGCCTAATTTACAATTAAAATTTTAATATTTCTCTAATCTTATTAATGATTGCTTTGTTCTTTTTCATAAAAATAAATTAAGGCGTTGAGAACCGAGGTAATTTCTATCTACCGTGCCTTAACTTACCAGCAACAGCAACCTATCTACGCCCTACGGTGGCAAGGGAGACTGTGAAAGAAGCGTAAGATGGATTCTTAACAATTATTTTGTGATATACTGAAGGACAAAGTGCAGAGAAAAGCGTACAAGTCCTGTTTTGTGCCAGGCTGTTGCAGTAGCACGTATGAAACTCCGAAAACGATCTCCGTTTATGTCCCGAACAACATCACCCTGAGGAGATGATCGTCTGCAATAGCAAGAAGAGCTGATGCAAGTACTTTGAAATCCACTATCAAGTCGGTGATATTGTTGTAATGATCACTGTGAGGTGAGATATTTTGTGCAAGGGCTGAGTGTAGGTAATGCCCAGGAGATGACCTCCATTCGCCCCCTGACCGGTCAGGGTTATAAAATTTGAGTGGATGGCGGTCCGTTTGGGGTTCAGATGTCAATTGTATTTTGTTACTGTCAAACAATACATGCTATGCTGGCAGCGAATGTGTGTAACGTCGGTTTTCGAAACAGAAGTTAGAACTGTAACGGCAGAGTGCTTGCTGGTCTCATCGTAAGTATTGTAACAGTATTGTAAGCATTGTCAATATTGTAAGTATTGTGAGCATTGATGTATGGTAGATATCACCAATTACCTCACATGATCTCGCCCCCAGATAACCCTCTCCGGTGTCCCTGTCAGTAAATGGCACCTGGATATTACAGATAAGATAATTTGTCATAATTCTTATAGAATTGGGCGGTTTTGACTCGTTTACTTGAGGCAGGTCGCATTTCAATATTTTTTCATAGGCTTGCAATGTAAAGGTCACGACTCTGACCTAACCTCAGGTCACAGATAAAAAATATGAGATATACAAACGACACATACTGCAGGTACTGTTTTGAAGACTTGAGAGGAAATAACTTCGTGAAAAACTCAAGCTCTGACGTGATTGCAAACTTTTCTGAGGTGGGGTCAACAAACCCGCTCTGGTTACCTGACCTGACCTGACCCGGCATTTTTTTTTTTTTTGCTGAGATGTGCGCGATGAGCATTTAGGAAAAGTCACCAAATATGAGCTGAATGTCTCGCGGCGTTTGACAATTGTACAAGAAAATCCTGAAAGGCCTCCCCGTCCGAAATAGGGTTAATGTGTATATGAAGAGTTGCAGATGCTAAACATACCCAGATCTAAGACTGCAGTTCCCAGCGCCGCTGCAACGTTTTTAAAACAAACATACATACATATAACATACAAACATGTTTATTTGCATCTGTTTTGGATAATAGCAACTCATGGCGCCATCACCCGCGAGAACTGTTAGGATTTGAGATATATTTTTATTTAGGCCATTAGCTTGGCTGTATATTAGTTGGGCGGAGTTTGGTAGTTTTTTATTTAACTTGTGGTATGTTGTGCTGATTGCAGGTTGTTCAAACCTTTCAAATGTAAGGACCTTATTGAACTCAACCCTACCCCTACACTACCCTCTGGACATTTTCCAAGCCCACAAGCATCACGACGCCGAGATGTAGCCGGGAAATCACCCTCGCCATCTGCTCTAGAGCTAATCGGTGTGGGGCGGCGTGTGGGGCGCCGCTTAGCCTATGGGGGTGCACTTGTAGTGGATGGGGGACGGGGGTGCACCTGCATCCCTTTCATATGGAAAGTTACTTCCCTGATTACAGCTCCCCGTATTGCACCTAATCAGGAAACGGCCAGCAAACGAAGGAACTATTTTTGGATGACAGTCGAATAGCCGCTCACGCAAGGAGCGGAGCTCCGCCCCGTCCAAAGTGGCCAACAAAGCAGAGACAGAGGCAGCATCACATCTTCCATCAAAGAACTGGTTTCTGGCTTGGAAGATGAGCTCCATCTTTGCATCTGAGTCGGTGCTGTCTGTCAGGAATCAGCTGGTCTAATGGAGTGAGACGACTAGCCATCGTATCAGAGCTGCCTGGTCCTCGTAGCATTTGCACCGATTCTTCTCGATCGGACTCTGAATTCTGTCCCTCCTGCGTATTACTTGAGGCATTGCTATGTAGCAAGTCTTTGGCAGTTTCATAATCCATGCTTTGCAAACAGTGCCATAACAATGCAGTTAATTTTGGTTAATTAATCACCAAGCTTCTTTGCAAGTTCCAATACAGTTGAATCGCACGCGATTTGAGTGCAAAAATCAAGAGAAGTGCCAACTTGTTCCCGTAACGTATTTTGAATATTGGCCTAGAAAATGAGTAATTTCCAGATAAAATAACAGCGAAATCAGTTTTCGCTTGCCAATAAAACTCACAGATATTGAAGCTCCACTATTAAAGGAGCATTTTAGTATATGTTATTCTTGATAAAATTTCTTAGCCACGCAATACCAGAGCAAAATAAGGAGACACTGAAAACACGACCAATCACTCCGATTTACCATAGGAAAATACATAGAAAATATATGTCGCAACTGCGCCAAATATACATACAGTTATATACCTACATGTGACGTCATGATTAGCCCGACCAATCAGAAGCAAGTTGTTTTCAGTCACAAATAATTAATTTTTGAGCTAACTAGGTATTCTTTTAACAAAATGATTTTAAATTAAATCATGAAAAATTCTCAGCTTTCTTATTTTACCAAAACATGCAGAGTGTGGATATAGGTCCCAACCCTATTAAACGTTGCAAACGATAAGCATTTAACTTGTCTGGTATACCAAGCGTATAAGGAAGGAATGTCTACTTCTGCACTGGCAGAAAAAAACATATTGAGCATCCTTGACCGTTTATCCTGCGGTCTAAGATACAATGAAGATAGTTCCTATCTATGCTCGACTGCAGGGCACCAAGCTATGGATCATTATGGAATATCTCGGGGGTGGATCTGCCCTTGACCTAATGAAGCCGGGAGTTTTGGAAGAAACGTATATCGCCATTATTCTGAGAGAGGTCATCAAGGGGCTGGAATACCTCGACTCGGAACGGATACTTCATCGAGATATTAAAGGTGTGTACTGTGTTCTTTGTAGCTTATGTAGGTTTTGGTTGCCATTATATTTTTCAGTCGTAGCCGGTCAGTCGTAGCGGGTTGGTCACAATGTGGGATGGGCGGTTATGTCGAGTCTCAACTGCTGCAAGTACAGTAAATAATTCAAACCATTTTAATTTTAGCTACTTTATCATTCCAATGCTAATATTTTCTGCGAGCAACTTGTTCAATACCTATTGTCTAAAATAATAGCTTCATGCTTTAATCTGTATTTAGGCCCATTATGTATCGCGGTATGATAGACATCGGATTTCATAGATGGCGGATTTTGTTAAGCTTCGTTACGAGCCACGAAACTTTCCTCCCCAGCGGCCAACATCCTGCTGTCGGAGTCGGGCGACGTGAAGCTGGCCGATTTCGGCGTGGCTGGTCAGCTGAGCAGCGATACCGTAAAGCGGCACACGTTCGTGGGCACCCCGTTCTGGATGGCGCCAGAGGTCATCCAGCAGGCCGCCTACGACTCCAAGGTGGGCATAGAAGGTAGTGGTCCGAAGGATACAGATAATATTGTCATGTAGATACGCTCTGTACTGTATAGGTACACATATGACATTTGCGAGGTGCGTGTGTAGGTGAAAATAGCCACATTCCATATTCCAAAGGCCTGGTAAATGTTGACGGCGCTTACGCTCTTCCCAGGCGGATATCTGGTCACTAGGGATCACAGCCATCGAGCTGGCCAACGGCGAACCGCCCTTCTCGGACCTCCATCCGATGCGTGCGCTCTTCCTCATTCCCAAGAGCCCGGCGCCGCAGCTGCAGGGCGACTTCACCAGGCCCTTCAAGGAGTTTGTCGAGGCGTGCCTCAACAAGGACCCCGAACACGTGAGTCAAACCCCCACTTACTGGGGAGGAGTTGCTTGGTCTTTATTTTTGCATTGTTATATCTCCGAAACATGGTTTCGGTTCTATAGCATTGCCATTTAGGAACAACTTGCTCTGCCATATTTCGTTAGTTATGACAAGCGGATAACTACTAGATATCCATAGTTGATTGTTATATCAAACCTTATTCATCATAATGAAATGAGAATCTTGCTGCTACCGTTTTGCGTAAGGAATACTCAACCACGACAACGACGCAGAGTGCCCCGCCCTGTGTAGCTGAGCGACATTGCTGTTGATAGATGGCAGCACCATAGAACGCCTGAACGATACTGTGCCGCAAGACATTAAATCCAGATCGCCGCACGTAACGCGTAGCATTCGGAAGGGAGAGAGAGAAAAAAACGAATGTTGGCATAATGCACGACTACGAGTTATAAAGTGGAATAGAAGCTTGCCGTTCGATTGGAAAATATATCCTTTTATTCTATTTGGTGGTGGAAATATTTTAAAGCATAAACTCAGAGCGTACCTAGAACTCGGGACTGATTCCTTCGGACTCAGGATTAATCCATTCCCTTCCGTTGTCACATCCCTGTCTCGGCTTACGGGATCACGGTCATCCTAACCGGCAACCATGGTGAAAGTCCAATTTGATAGAAGCGCATCCCACTGCACCGGGATGACCCAGCGTGGCTGGGTGACCCGTCTCAGGAGTCAGGCAACGGGCTCACCCGCAGAGCACCAGCCGACGGTCGACTCAGCTTAATGTCACTGCTTTGTCATTTTATCACGATGCCCTGAATCGGTCTCAAAACACCAAAAGGAACCTACATTACAAAACAAACAAGCAAATAAATAAACTAATTAATTAACAGATAAACAAACAAACAAAAAGGAATGCATAATATCAGCGGTCAGGGGCCGGGGTCAGGCGAGATTAAAAAAACATAATTTATTTCTACATCATTTCATTGAACATGCATAAGACCAGACTTTCAGAGATGCTTTCCAAAACAACATTCTATTAGATTCTATGTTGTTTGTGCTCGACCAGTGACCATATGTTTTATCGTGTCACGTGTGCTGCTAGCGCCCGTCGGCCTCTGAGCTGCTCCGTCACCCGTTCATCAAGAAGGCTCGGCGGACGGTGTGTCTGACGGAACTGGTGGACCGGTACAGACAGTGGAAACAGACGGCGCCCGACTCCGACAGCGAGGCCGACACCCAGTCCATCAGCCAGTCAGAGTGAGTTAGACAGTCAGAGTGAGTTCGTCAGTGAGTCAGTGATTCGGCCAGCCACTCAGAGGTGAGTCAGTTAATGAAGTATGAGCCGGTCAGCCAGCCAGAGTATGTATGTGAGTGGCAGTCAGACTGAGTCGGTTAGACAGTCTATGAGTCGGTCAGTCAGAGTGAATCTGTCACTGAGTCAGACAGCCAGCCAGAGTAAGTCACTCGGCGCTAAAAGTCAGAGCTGAGGTGAATCGCAGCTAACTAATACACAGAGTTAAATGTCAGGACGGCTAAGACGAAAGTCAAGCGTTCGAGTTATGTGCTTATCTGAGTTGGAGAGACTTGGGGGGAGGGGGGTAACGAGGCGTTGATTGGTGATGCCAGACCAAAGTTTTATTTTCCCAGGAAGCTGCACCTCGCGACCTCACTCTGTCCCAACACAAACGTTCATTCAATGGTATCAGTCAGGTCAGTCATTTGATCCCCAATGACCTGTTCCAGGGACGAGCTGTCGATTGACCTGGATCTGGACGAGCCTTGGTGTCACACGGTGGTCGGACCGGCGCCCCACCGGCCGGCGCCGCCTCCGCCGCCGCCTCGAGAGCACAGGCGCAGCCAGGTGCTGCAGAGCGCCATCTACCCGCTGCTGGCTGAGGTTAGTGCTGCCAGCTGTGTTATCTGTCAGATTATTCGTTGGGCCGTTACGGTTGCGGTAGTCACTGGAGTATAAATGCCGTAACCGGTTGTTGTTGTTGTTTATTGGGGCTTTAGGGCGCATCGACTGCAAAGGTCATTTTGCGCCCAATGCCGTAACCGGTACGTTGTATGTATTTAAGTTTCCTGTCTTCTTTTATTACTTCTCCTTTTGTTACATGTCTGTCTGTTTCACGTTTGTCAATATGTTTGTTATGGTCTGTCCGTGTCTGAGGGACCTCCTCTGACCCCCTAACGCCCTCCTCTCGCCGTCCCCAGGGGCCTCTCTAGTCTCCCTCCCCCTTTTTCTGACCCTCCCTTGAGTCCCTTCCTCTGACCGTCCTCAGCTGCAGCGTCGCCACCGGAGCCGTCTGCCACCGCCGGGGCGCACCTCTTTCTCCGGTCGCGGAGACGAGGTCGAGGAACTTCGCACCGCCTTCGAGCAGGCCGAGCGCGAGTCAGCCGGCGTGTCGGACCGGTTGGTGCAGCGGCTGCTGCAGAAGCTGGTGCCCTCCGCCAGTCAGCAGCAGCTGCGCGCCAGCTTCCAGCGGCTGGTGCGGTGAGCGACGCAGCTGCTGGTGCTGCTTGAAGCTGTTGGTGTTGGTCTCTCGGTGGCTGATCACAGCACCATCTGGACTCCCGACAGTGCTGTCTTGCCTGAGTCGCACGGCGGGTGGCATCTGAATTTAAAGCGATGGCGGACTTCAGGTCTAGTCTCCCCTCCGCCGGTCTTCTATGCGCCGCCAGGCACCAAGGAGAGGCGGAGTGCGGAGTCATTCTCAAGAATGAGCCTATGGAGATGCGGTAGCGCTTCTGAGCGAAAAACAGCCGGGACCAGTGCATATGGCTGAGTTCAATGGCACAGCCTTACGGCGACAAGAGGCCGAAGCCTGTCAGGCCATCTGGCACCGACAAATGTAGCTAGCAGGAAGCCGATGGCCAAGTTGTTGAGTTCCCTATCCTGAGTTGATGCCTTGATAACTTGTGCATCGAATATTCATACCACATAACATTGGCTTTCCTTAGCGTGGTCATGATAAGGAATATTGATTGATCCTGATGAAATCGTGGCATGCTTGATCATAAACTAGTCCGCTTTTAGTTTGATGTATTCAGCGATTGCTTTTGTTCCCTCGTCGTGTTGTGCTGTTGCGTTCAGGCGTCAGCGGCAAGCATTTGCGCTTCGGCAGAGGTGTTGTGAATGTGTACTATGTAGGTACTGGGCGATACCCTTCCACACACAGATGCACAAGGAAGGGTTGGTCTGTGATTATTGGATGTCTTGTAGCACTAGTTTACCGTTGAAACCGAGCAGCCTGAATGACGTCTACTGCTTTGGCCCCGATTGGGACTTGTGATTAGTTCCATACCGTAGACCGTAGCGCTTGGCGGCTTAGGGTGGGCCATGAGCCACCCGCCACACACGGTTTTGTGCTCAGTTTGTCCGAATTCGATGACAAGCACCTGTTGATTTCACAGTCGAACTATCCAGATGTTATCACGAAGGTTGTTACCCGATGCGAGGTATGATCGTATGTAAATGGGCCATTGTCCGGCGCTTTCTGCATTGTTAGGCATTAAAGTCAGCAGGAGCTTTTCGACGTACAAGCGTCGCTCACTGTGCAGTGCACAACCATTGCTGACATGTCAATAAACGTTCACTGTTCAATGCTCTTCTGGCTGCCGCTGCTGTTGATCCATTCCTAACTGAGCTGATTGACTTCAGTGGCGTATCCAAGGGGGGATCCTGGGGGTCCTAGGGTCCCCCCTGGAGCCTAGAAAAAAGTTTTTTTTATAACACGGAAAAAATTGAAATGACTTCAAGGGCCCTTTTGACCACTTCCCATTTTATTCGCTAAAAGAAAAAGTATTGTAGAACTCTTTTAGGGACCCAATTGAGGATGATTAGAGGACACATTTAGGCCAATGAGGGACCTTGTGAAGTATACAGAGGGCCCTCTCAGGTACACAGAGGGCCCTTTCAGGCACACAGAGGGCCCTCTCAGGCACACAGGGGGCCCTCTCAGGCACACAAAGGCCCTCTGAGACACACAAAGGACCCTCTCAGGCACACAGACGGTCCTCTGAGACTCACAGAGGGCCCTTCCAGGCACACAGAGGGCCCTCTCAGGCACGCAGAGGGCCCTCTCAGGTACACAGAGGGCCCTCTCAGGCACACAAAGGGCCCTCTCAGGCTCACAGAGGGCCCTCTCAGGCACACATAGGGCCCTCTCAGGCACACAGAGGGCCCTCTCAGTCAGACACACAGAGGGCCTTCTCAGGTACATAGAGGTCCCTCTCAGGCACACAGAGGTCCCTCTCAGGCTCACAGAGGGCCCTCTCAGGCACACAGAGGGTCCTCTCAGGCACACAGAGGGCCCTCTAGGGCTCACAGAGGGCCCTCTCAGGCTTACATAGGGCCCTCTCAGGCTCACAGAGGGCCCTCTCAGGCAAACATAGGGCCTTTTCAGGCACACAGAGGGCCCTCTCAGGCAAACAGAGGGCCCTCTCAGGTACACAGATGGCCCTTTCAGGCACATAGAGGGCGCTGTCAGGTACACAGAGGGTCCTCTTAAGCACACAGAGGGTCCTCTCAGGCAAACAGAGGGCCCTCTCAGGTACACAGAGGGCCCTTTCAGGCACACAGAGGGCCCTCTCAGGCTCACAGAGGGCCCTCTCAGGCACACGTAGGGCCCTCTCAGGCACACAGAGGGCCCTCTCAGGTACACAGAGGGCCCTCTCAGGTACACAGAGGGCCCTTTCAGGCACACAGAGGGCCCTCTCAGGCTCACAGAGGGCCCTCTCAGGCACACATAGGGCCCTCTCAGGCACACAGAGGGCCCTCTCAGGCACACAGAGGGCCCTCTCAGGCACACAGAGCCGGCCCTCTCAGGTACACAAAGGGCCCTCTCAGGCTCACAGAGGGCCCTCTCAGGCACACATAGGGCTCTCTCAGGCACACAGAGGGTTCTCTGAGACACACAGAGGGTCCTTTCAGGCAAACAGAGGGCCGTCTCAGGCACACAGAGGGTTCTCTGAGACACACAGAGGGTCCTTTCAGGCAAACAGAGGGCCGTCTCAGGTACACAGAAGGCCCTCTCAGGCACACATAGGGCCCTCTCAGGCACACAGAGGGCCCTCGCAGGCAAACAGAGGGCTCTCTCAGGTACACAGAGGGCCCTTTCACTCTTTCAGGCACACAGAGGACCCTTTCAGGCAAACAGAGGGCCGTCTCAGGTACACAGAGGACCCTTTCAGGCATACAGAGGGCCCTCTCAAACACACAGAGGGCCCTCTCAGGTACTCAGGGGGGCCTCCCAGGCACACAAAGGGCCCTCTAAGACCAGCAGAGGGCCCCTTAAGACGAACAGAAGGCCCTCTGAGGTACGAGGGTCAATGTCAGGCCACAAGGTACCCTATAAGGCCACCAAGACGGCCCTCTTAGATCAAAGATGGTCCCTGGAGGTCACCAAATGGCCCTCTGAGGTGAACAAAGGGCCCTCTGAGATCGAAGAGATCAAAGAGATCAAAGAGGGCCCTCTAAGGCGAATGGAGGGCCTTCAAAGGTCACAAAATGCCCTCTGAGGCCACTGGAGGGCCTTCTGAGGTGATATGAGGCTATGTCAGACCACCATGAGCCCTATGAGGTCATCAGGCCCTCTGAGATCAAAGAGGGTCCTTGGAAGTCATCGGAGGACCCCTTAAGGCCCATTGAGGCGAACAAAGGCCAGAGGGCCCCCTTAGACACCACAAAGAAGTAAAAAAGATCCCTCTGAGGTCAAAGACAGCTCTCTGAGATGTAATAGGGCCATTTGAGGCCTCCTGGGGCCCTCTGATGCCACAGAGAGGCGCCCTCTGATGTCAAAATAGGGTCCTCTGAAGTCTAAATCCACCAGAGGGCCCTCTGAGGCGAACAGAGGGCCCTAACATCCACCTCAAAGAGGGCCCTCTGAAAATCAACTGGCCCTCGGAGTCAGTGTCCCAAAATCGTATTTTGGCTTGGGTGTCAGAGGGGGAAAAGGTCACCCAAAAGAGGGATAAGAGTGAACAATTGTCAGTCACAGGGCAGTCGGAGCCCTCTGAGAAGGCCACTTGAGCCTTACAACAGAGGGCCCTCTGAGGTGATATGAAGGCCACTATGGGCTATGTGGCCACTATGGGCTCTATGAGGTCATCAGGCACTCTGAGGAAAAAGCTGGCCCTCTGAGGCGAACAGAGGGCCCTTGGACAATCAGAGGACTTTTTAAGTCAACTAAGGGCCTTATGAGGCCAGCAAAGACCCTTTGGGACACAAACAGGGCCTCTCAGGCACCCGGAGGGACCTCTTTTCTAAGGCAAACAGGGGGTCACCTTAGATGATATGAGGGCTATTTTAGGCCACTAGGGGCCTCATGTAGCTCAGTCCCGTAGCTCAGTTGGTTAGAGCGTTGGACTCCGCGTGGTGAGAGCACGCGTTCCCGGTTATAACAGTCCGGGTTCGAAGCGCGACGGGCGCTCGACATTTATGGGCCTCCTGACAGGTATGGTTGCGGTTGGTGGCAGGCCGTAGCCAGGCGAAGTCAGTGAGGGGACCGGCCGTGCGCGGCTTTGTGCGCACGTTAAACTTTGGACTCTAAATTCTGCCATAGAATCGGAATTGCGCGATCGGAGGGTAGAGGGCAGGGTCATCGCAACAAGCTTCGCTTAGCGGTGGCTCTGTCCTTGTGAATCCTTCCCATCAAAAGGTTCGGACAAAATTTATTTTAAAAAAATGTAATAGTCCAACCTACGGTCATTTGAAGTAAAAGAGAACCTTTTGAGGTAAAAAAGGGCCCCTGGAAAGAAAACAGAGGGACCTTTCAGGTACCAAGAAGGTCCATGGAGGCCACTAGAGGACCCTTTGAGGCCAGTGATGGTCTTCAGAGGCCATCAGAGGGTCCCTCTGAGGGTAACAGAGGGTCCTTAAGACGACCAGAGGCCCTCCGTGAAAATGCGGGCGTCACAAGGCCCGGTTTGCATCGAAGGTCAGGTAGCTATGCCCAGTTTAGGCTCTCTGTTGCCTGCCGACGTGTTCCGAGCTGTCGCAAAAAAAAAACGATGTGGTGGCACCCACGCCCCCCCCCCCCGGCCGGCCAGGGTCCTTCTAACCAGGGATAACCAGGGCGTGGAAATTTCAGACGGCTCATGGCTCCGGCTCCGGAGAAAAAAAATCGGCTTCGGCTCCGGCTCCGGCTCCGGCTTTGACTCCAGTACTGAGTTCATCCTTTATACAAATAAATACGGGTGGAAAAGAAAAAATGAAGGATTGGTTAACGTTGCTTCTGTATTTGCATAACAAGGCTATTTTGAATACCACATATTTTACTGCCTTGTATAGGTACTGTGAAACCAAACTAGGTCAATAATGTTTTCCTCTTAAAAAAAACAGCCGGAGTCGCCGCCTCTTTTACCGCTCCGGCTCCGGCTCCGGGCTATATTGTTTCACGGCTCCGGCTCCGGCTCCGGCTCCAGCCTCCAGGCAAAATATGCCGGCACCGGCGGCTCCTCCGGCTCCAGCTCCGGCTCCGCACCCCTGCATCTATAACTCGGCTTCTGAGCCACGTACCAACACGCCTAAGGCAGTGTTCGAAGGGACGCAAGCAAACAATAATGACGAAATTACGCCTGTCACTTTTTAGATCAGTTCAAAATTCAGTTTACATAGGTCATCCAAGGTTAAATTTCGCCAATTTTCAGGTCCAGTTTCGACAATTTTCAACAAACCACCGCATGATTCGGAAATGAATAGAGCTACAGTACCGGGGGAAAGCGTAGCTAATAGCTCTTTTAATACCCCTTTCGCCGTTTCCATCCTCAGGACATTCAAATCCTTCTCCTCCATGCCGCAACCCCTGATCCGGACTGGACCTGGACGGGCAACTTTATTCCATGCGGACGGCTCCCATTGGAGCGCACTGCAGCTCCTAAGGAAGCACACTCGTAACCGGGTGCAGTGAGCACTTGGGAGGCTGGTCGGCCTGTCCTGTTGGACAGGCTCAGCCCCAGTGACTCACCAAGGTGCCCGCCCAGACCAATGTCTCCCTCAATTCCTATCATCCTCCGGCCCTGAAATGTCTCGTCAGACCGAAAGCCGAAAGGGCCTGGGTCCAACCCAACAAAACAAACAAAGCTCTTTTAACCCTCGCCGGCACAGGCCATTTTGCGTCCTTCGACGGCACAAGGAGGGGGGGGGGGGGTGGTACGTACGACCCCCCCCCTCGCGTTTGGCCCCTGATCGAGCTAGAGCTTCGCGGAAAAAACGAGCGTGTTGCCCGTCACGAGACGAAGCCGATGATACCCAATTTTAAGGTCCTAGGTCATCGGGTGACCTTCCAGGTCAGGTCAATGACCCGAAAACCGGGAAAATCGGGACCTGTTAGAAAGTCGTAAATTGTGGCTGCTATGTGATTTTCCGGGGTGCTGATCACGAATATCGTGTTAGTTTTGATCAGAGATGATGTCTTTAAGCATTTAGACCAGGTCGGGTCAGGTCAGGTCAGGCCAACCGGTAGGGGTTGTGACGGGTATTCGTAATACGTGTCAACCGCCTCTGACAGTTTCGTAACATGTTACGAAGGCACCAAAACTACTACGTAAATGTTCAAATGGTTGCCAAATTCGAATTCAGCTCCAAAAACTAGCATAGAAACATGTAAAACTCGAAAAAGTGAACCGAGGTCACCCGAGGTCACCAAAGGTCAATGACCTGACCTGACCTTCAGGTGACCTTGACACCCACCCTAATGTATGGGAGCGACATCAAATCACATGTTTGAACGTTTGAAACCACAAAAAGCTTGCAAACGCGCGGCTAATGTTAGCCGACATACGCCGAATCGCGATTTCGGCCAAACATGGTCTCGGAAAAGAGGTCACAGGTCAAAGGTCATTGGGGTCAGGGTCATGAAATTTTCAGGGTAGGTGTAAAATTGATCAATGCGAATGTACTGAAAGTTTCGTCGCGATCGGCCGCTTTTTACGCGAGTTATTCGCGAAAAACCTTAGGGGGGTTGCATCAACCCCCCCTGTGCCGGCGAGGGTTAACGCTCTTTCTGTAAACTGTGCTCAGATTTGACGTAAGCCTGTTAATTCTACACTTTTTATATCGGAACATTTTCATGTTTCTACAGCTCTGTAGGCCTGATAGCTCTTCCTGCGAAACCTTTTTTGGGTCGAAAATGGCAGAACATGACGTCATTCTGACGTATTTGCGGCCAACCTATCATAGCCTCTGGAAAAAGGTCACAATGTGTAAAATGGATGCCCTGAGAGGTCCTGAAAGTTTGGTGGCGATATCTGCAGTCATTTAGGAGATAGCTACGGAAGAGGACAGGGGGCCGTTTCGCCCCCCCCCCCCCCCATACGGGACGCGGGCTAACGCCCTTTCAACTCAGGCTTCAAGGGCCCTTTTGCCACTTAAGGGCCCTTTCAACCCAGTCAGTCAAGGGCCCTTTTGACTGCGGATCCCCCCTGAGAGAAATCCTAGATACGCCACTGATTGACTTCACAATAATAACGCTCATAGAAACGTGATGAAAGCCAGACTTAAAATAACCAATTTTGTCAATCACTTCCGTCAAAGCCAACAGGTTCAGTGGCTTTGTTGAAGAGTTTTCGTTGGAGACAACAAATCATTGTTCATGAGTTAGTCACGGAATTCCGACGAGACGGTACACGGGAGATCTTCTCCATACCACGCCTCGAATGACAGAGTGTGACAGTGTATGTATATTGGATGCTCCGTCATCACACTAGGTATGTTCGGAATAGCACAATCAGAAGAACAAGCGAGTCGGCAACAACATGCACATAGCGCACAGCAGACGGTCTCTTCGGTACAAACGGCTCCAAGCGGTACATTGCCGGGGGCGCCCCGTCTCAGTTACAAGCGTACGCGCGCGTGCAACACACTTAACCACAGTGTCTACGGCTAAATTATCAAAAGGCGGCTCGGGGGGCAGGCGAGCCCACACGAAGCCGAACTAACGAATACAAAATAGTGCTGTGTCGTCCATCCGTCCCGGCCAGGCAGCGGGGTGCTGCCTTCGAGCGGGCGGCCGACTATCGGAAAACCAGTCCCGTACGAAAAATAATCCATACTAGCCATGCGCCGCGCGGTTCGTAGGCCCACTGAGTGGTGAGCAGGCTGGCGGTACGGCCGACGGCGGCTGGCGGGCCGCACCGACCCCGGAGGGTCTCAGACGCACACAGACACGCACACACGCGGAGCGCCGCATGTTGACACGCTCCTGCAGCTGTCGGATCGGCGCCGTGTCACCGAGCGGGTGACACCCGACACCCCCTCAGCCGCCGGCGAGTGCCGACAGACACCGGGCATCCGACCCGGGCCGCCGCCACAGACAGCCACACGGCGGGGAGACGCGCCGCCGGCCGCGGCACGGCGGTCCCGTCCGACTCTGACGTCACCTCACGTCACATTCTGACGTCATACCCCGTTCGCGTCCACCACTATAACAGCTGGCATTTGCACTTCCAGCACTTGGTGGGCTCCTTGACCTCTTCGTGGTTGCCCCGTGTCAGTTCCGCCTTTCTTGCCGATATCTTCCGCATCAGGTCGAAGAAACACTGCAAAAAGGCGGCGTTAGACATCTCGAGAATCACGAGACAGCACAATCCTAAACAAAGACAGCACGGTGCGTTATTTGAGAGCACGCAGACAGTCATGTGTTTATCTGCAGCTTATCTCGGTGAAGTGCCGGACCTTGCTCTCAGTCATTTATCCAGTGGCATAGCTCGAATAAGTGAGCTATGATTATCTTTGAATTTGGTTCGTGTTCCATGTGAACCGACGATGCCAATTCCATTAGAAATAATTTACCAGATCCAACCTCTGCTGTTAAAAAGAACTCAGTAATCAACACGTCTTCTTTCAATTGCCTTTCGCTAACAGCTCCTCGGTACTCACCTTGTCCACATTGTGACGAGTCTTTGCCGAGGTCTCCACATAGGGTACGCCCCACTGGGAGGCGCGGGCGCCGGCTTCCGCGTGTGCCACGCGCCGCCGCTCCTCCAGGTCGCACTTGTTACCAACCAGCAGCAGAGGGATGGTCTCGTCGTCTTTGACACGTAAAATCTGCTCCCTGTGACGGCCAGTGGACGGAATAACGGTTATAGAGGGGCGACTCAGGGGCTGTTAGTGGCCCGTACCACAGGAGGCCGGTAGGAATTCAGTAGCTAGTGTGACAGTCACGCCACTGAGTAGAGCACAGCATTGGATGCATTGTATAAGGTACAGATATATTTGGATTACCTGTGTTGAGGCTTGAGGATGGCATTGTGTGCAGTCACATGGGAATTACAAATACACGGATGCTCGTGCCGAGAAACAGCCGTTATGAAGCCGCACCCACAACTGGAGGGCGGCATCACCCGAGCTAATGTATTCGTCCCGCACCGCCTCATATGCTAATACGGGAAGGCGCGTCTCCATTGTAAAACGGCGACACACGGGATCCTGAGCTGGTCCGAAGCTGGTATCGAGGGTGTGAAAGGCGGACTCAAATCAGGAAACTGGCCCGTGGGATTCCATTCAAGTTCGGTTTTCGGTTATCTGGATCATGCGGAGTTCATTTCATTAAAAAAAAATGTGTGACATCTAAAGACTTCTCCACCTGTGAAACAAAACGATACATCCCTCAGACAAAAAAAAAAAAAAAAACAAAGCCAGGGCGTGACAAATGAATGTGACAAGTGAAAACCCACTTCGGGTGGTAATGTGATCACTGATCACCATAACTGAATAATTATGCCAGATCAACGGCGTCATACACGAGTAGTTTGACATGAAGTGGAAACACCGGAACGCAGGCAGGAATATTCATTGGCGTAGAAATTCTATAAATATTCCTTACGTCGGACAGGAAGCCATTCGAATGGAGTTAGATACCCATCATAAGCAGCATTTGCTAGACGACGCATAAAGCTTGTGTAAAAAATGGGTGATGTAACAAGAAAACAATGGGTAGAAAAGATAATTAGAAACCGTGGCACAAGTGCACGAAGCATTCAGTAAACGGACGGGAAAGCGTCCAGCGTTTGACTTCGGATTGAACGAATTACAAATGAGAAATAGAATCGCAAGATGTCCACCATTAGGACATAAACAGATAGCAAAAACCCGCGACTTTTATAAAGATTGCGTTGCCGGCCAGGGGATCGATGAGCCACCCAGTATCAGACAACAAACGGCAGCGTCGGGGCTACTTTCCCGTTCTGTCGGCCGCCAGTTCCAAGAACCTGTGAGTCAGTTCGGCACTGCCCGCCGGAGCCGCCGCGTCACCACAGCGGCTCACAGTGCAGCACCCGCTCACACTGACGTAACAGAGCGAGCTGCACAGTGCACAGCAGCGGCCAGCCTGCCCTTGAGCCGCACACCGGCACCCGGAAACTGTCCGACTCGGGAAGGAGCCTGCGCTCTGCTGTCTTCCACGGCGTCTCTACAGCGGCCGATTTTCCTGGTCACGGTGTATGGATCAGCTGTGAGCCGGACACCGCTGCATTCAGCCGCCGTGCCAGACCGGACGGGCCGAGATCGGGCGATAGAAATTATGCAATTTACAACAAAATGGGCGAAGGGCAGTGCATTTGACGAAGCTAATGCATTGCATATCAAATGCCAATTTTTGAAAACAATAACACTTATAAAAAGAGTTTCACAATACTCTTTCTAAACCAAACGCTGTACATTTACCTTTTACTCTTAACGCTGGGCATTCAGTCTGCATGAGGTTTCAACGTCGGCATTGCTGACATATTTCGTGTTATGCAAGGTGTCCACAATGGACGACACGGTACCTGTCTACACGTTATGAACAAAATCAAGCCCGGAAGTAGATGCATACCTGAACTTCGGGGTGGCCAGAATAAAAAACAATAGGGAGAGGATGGTAGGCCGCAGTTAGGTACGTCTTTGAACTACTGCGTAGACTGGAAAAAGGGTAGTAGGTAGCAAGCAGTGGTAAAAGGCAGCAATCAGTAGGTAGTAGGCGTTAGACACGCACCTGAACTCCTGCGTAGCCTGGAAGCTCTCGTCCTCGGTTATAGAGAAGACGCAGAGGAAGCCCTCACCACTCCGGAAGTAATTGTCCCTGGAAACGACACAACGGTACGATTAGCCAACAACTCCATTTAAACACACGGGTCTTGAGGTATACCGTCCACACGCACTCAGACTAGCGCTGCACAAACACTGACTCAAAGCAGTGCTGTGGACAAATTACGGGCGAGGTCGGGAATACAGCTATACCCCTCCCTACCCTCCCGTCTAACGGGCTGGCGAAAGCTGCCGGAAATGAAACAGGCTTTTAAAATGATAATCCAGTTGGGGGACAGGGTAATAATGGCCAAACGAGGTGCACGTTCCTTGGAACCGACGGTGGACATCAGATATCCGAAACGTCAGTACGTTCCCACATATGTGCTTTACTACTCTAGTGTATCCAGGCATGGATCGTCTGAATTTCCGGTGTACCATAGGGCATCTTGACCTCTACATAATATAATATCTCCTAGCTTATTGTAAAATTTCGACCAAATATTTCTGAACTGAGGTCAGATGTCCACTGTGAGCTACAATTATCGCGTAAATTAGGCGTCGTACGTTCCAAACACCCCTCATAGTAATGTACCGTTTCAGCCACTCGTAGCTCTAAAACTATCCCACGACTAATAACCCCACCGATGCTCGACGGTACAGATCGTCCCAGGGCTCTGACGTAACCCCAAACTTCACCGCTCACTCACATAATGTTGCAATGCAACTCACTGCAATGTTCTCGAGTTAGCGGCGGGTAAGGTGACGGCACCGTTTGGGACTCAGGCGGGCGGTGCCGTCAGCGGCGGCGGCAGCGGCGGATGTCACCATCGCCGGTCCGTGTGTCGCGATCGGCTCAATTGTTGGACGGAATATTGGTGATGCATGACCGATCTGCGGTTAGGCGAGGCCAGGGCGAGCGGTAAGACCGCACCGACCGTACCGAGGTCCGTATCAGGAGCCCAGATACCCGACCAACGTATCGCCGATTGGCGGCGATAAGAGAGTGTGACGTAGGTGACCCCACGCAGTCGCACAATCCACAGAGAGCAGCCGGAACGAGATATAACCGGAGGTTTAGATGACAGCCGTGACTTGGTCAGTAATACAGACGGTAGTTTTGTCACGGCGCGTGACCTGCTGTCTAAACAGGGACGTCGGCTGGTAGCTTCCAGTCTAAACACTGTCGACATTTGTGAGCTGACGGATTCATCAACGATCAGTTAAACTGCTCGCGGGCACATCTCATCTTCAGTCACATGATAAATAGTAGATGCAAAAAGGTAATGATACACGACCGGCATGACTCAAGTTTTAACCGATTAGGTATGGCAGCGTAGGTGAGGAGCGTGTACGAACACCAAAAACTGAGGCGAACTAATGCAGGACAATCAATACCGAAAAGTTACTTTGACACGGTACCACACAGCATGCATATGCATGCCTTCTCAGATAATCTGTTCTGAGGTGGCCTTTAGGCCCACTGACAACGGTGTGGGGTCGGTACAAAAGCTGCATCTCTGCTCCATTGCCTCACGATGGCTTTGCTGCCAGATTCGTTCGCTGTCTGATCGCCATTCTCATACCGTGATTCACGGAACCTTTGCCAGAATCAGTCACGTGATCCAACCTGAAAATTGCTCTCCGTCACGTGATTCACAGGCTGATCACTACTCCCTGTCACGTGATTATCAGTCCGAACGCTGTTTCAGTCACGTAGCTTAAACGCAACGTAATCCTCATCTCAGTCAAGTGATTTGTCAGTCAAGTGACTCGCGGTAGTCACTGTACCGTTTTCAGTCGCTGTTTCGACTTTACATCAAGTTACGACCTCTTTCACGTGCATGGCCCGTGAACGGGTACCGAGCACCGAATTTCAATAAGTTATTTGTGGTCCACCGATCTCATCTGCGCGCTCGGTCATGTGATTTGTGATCTCATCGCCGCTCAGCTATTTGTGAGCTGATAGTCAGCCATAGCTCAGCCAACAAAGAAACAGCCCAATCACGAGCAGCTGACGTGAGATAGCATCTCTGCGCCACACTAGGCATGCAAACAAACCAACAAAACAAACCCGCAAATATACAAATAAGCGGACGTCACTCCCAGAGCCTTCCTTGTTTTCATCATCGAATGCGGCGCCAATGAAACCGACTCAGACGGCATGAAGGCGAAACCCCCACTGCCGAGTGGAGGATAGCCAAAAACAACACACAGCCAGACGACATAGGTCAGGCAGCCGTCCTAATGACTCCCGATGCCTGGAGCAGATCGGTAACAGAGCTTCACTGGAAGTTCCGCTGAGCAACGCCGGCTGGCTGGGATTTGTAAATTTAGATACCTACCGCTGCTCAGGGGCAGGTGCCGCGGACAAAGACGGGTAGAAGCGATGGGCGGGAGAGCAAGGAAGCAGGTGGATGCCAGGGTTAGAGGAGTGAAACTAAACATTCCAGAGCTGAATTGGATGCAGCAGGATGTGAAAACCAAACAGAGTATACACCAGAATTAACATCAGAGCAGAACAAAGAATGGTTAGCAAGACCAGGAAGGTCTCCATTCAAGGTTTCATCAAATGTGTACAAGCCCTCTCCCTGCATTTATCACACAGCAATATCTGACTCAATGACACAGGTTTCAGAGTAATAAGGAAGCTGACCTTTTGGTCATTTCTGCTTTTGACTCCTTTCGCTACACACTCTGGCTCACCTGATGGCAGCGTAGTCCTCCTGTCCCGCTGTGTCCAGGATGTCTATCTGCACTTCCTCACCATCCAGCACCACCTTCTTACGGTACGAGTCAGCCTTGGTTGGCTCATAGTCTTCCACGAACTGGCAAACAAGCAGTGGTGTTGGTGGTTCAGTGGTCAACGGATTGGTGAGCACAAAACAGCGTTAGAAGTGGCATGGTCTACAAAGCACATTGAAATATGCCCACATAGTAGAATACAGCTTTTAGTCTGAGAACTCAGAACATCAGTGTGGACAAACATTAAAAATATGACATTTAGCATGTAGCAATACTAAAAAGCTGAAATCGAACATGAGAAATCCATTTTTCATAATATAAACAACTTTTGAAAATGCTTGTGACATTTTTCGTTTTTCAATTTTATTCCTTTTAATTTTTATTCCATTATTCCTAATATATTCATAGCAGTGCTGGATTTTGAACCTTATAACAGAACACACAGAACTTACAGCTAGCTGCTGAATCAAACATACCTCATCATACATGAACTGTAGGGTCAGTGCTGATTTTCCCACTCCACCACTGCCGACCATAATAACCTTGTGTAATGCAGGCTGAGTTACGCCCTTCTTGCCACTCATTTTGGCCTGAAAACAAACATCCATCTTTTGTTTTGCATCACTTATCCCCATGACATGCATCAATAACCAGAAAGTTGGCTTGAAAATAATCCAGAACCAGGGAAAGATATATTTCAGCCAGGACTCAGGAGGGACCTAATTAAAATTAGGTATACATTTCAAGCTGAAAATTATTTCAGGGTGATACTGAAAAAATAACTTGAAATGTTGAATATGCTGAAGAAGTTGACTACAAGACTAAGGTAGGTAGGTAGGTAGGTATACATTTGGACTATTTGGTCAAAACGTGGTTTATTTTCAGCAGCTTTTTCACCATGCATACAAATAAGAAACTCCCTCAATGGAGCCATGGCCCATGGCAATGACTGACATCACGGCCCATGGTCAATGGCCATGACTCTGACCCCTGGCAGACCGCACTTGACTGCTGGCAAATGACTGATGGCATGTCATCAACATAACCTGAGTGCCTTGACCTAAGCCTTCCAAGTTCCATGCAGATTACAGATAGACAGCACGCTTCAATGACATCACAGGCTTTTGGGCCAAACATCTACTTGACATTATCATTCAAAGTTACATACACAAATTAAAATGTTGATGACTGATGTGATGTGCGGATAGCTCCATTTACCAAATAACAATAATGTAACAAAACTTATAGCACGTACCTTCATATAGAAAAATTAGGAAAATGGCAGTGCTCAAATTGACAGTTATTATGCAAGATGAATTGTAACGTATTGTACCCTATTTGATTAATTACTCAAACTCGTCTTGTAGGTCAAGGTGCTTACTTACCGAATCAGGACGACTGAATCAGAATGTGATGGCAGGGAAAGAAGTCCAAAGAATCTCACTAATAAAGCAGTGCAGATGAAGGATTAAATTATCGCTACCCCTAAGCCACGAATATTTATTTTTGTAGCAACTTTATCTAAGAAAGTCCCAACCCAATCTCAAAACTCCGCCAACACCCTCTTCTGAATCACACAACGGAACAGAAAGGAGCTATGACAACTAATGCTGGGTTCACACTGCTAGGAGTGGTCGAACGGATGAGTATTGAAGCATCCAAGAGCGCAGCGGGTCGAACCGAAAAGTGCATTCGTTTCATTATTCGCCGTAGAAAGAGATAAGCATCGTAACATTTAAGAGTTCAGTGCATCGTAAGCAGCTAGATCAGCTATTTTTATGGTCACTTTCAATTTAATGAAATTATGCCATGCCCATATAAATTTGAGTTGCTTCATTCGTTCTTGCAATATAGATGAAAATGCATATTATTTCCACAGATTCAAACACATCATGATGTCAACTATTTCACCAAAGTACTATAATTACTTGATGGCTTTTAGAAAAAGATCTCATCCCTGATATTTTTCTCTTGATGCCATTGTTCTTCTTCCACGTTAAAGCCTAAGTTTTCTTCTCCTTGGTGCGAAGAGATAAGACAGAATATTGTAAAAGAGTAGACTATTTTGCTGTATGAGGGATTATAGTGATTGTTCAGGATTTTGTGAAGTGAAATGAAAGTGACGACGTCATAAAGCCCTGTCTGAACTGACCCTTAAAACACCACTCAAGTTTCAAAAACGGCGCACATTATGTTCAAAACTAGTTCAAGTAGCCTGCGCTCGCAATAGTTGCCAAATTTAGTCCAATAGTTTCTCGGTAGAGTATCAGTCAACGTCATCCATTATCCGTTATTGAACACGTTTTTCAAGTGATTTGTTAGTGGGAAATGGAAGCGCCAATTCTAATTTGCTTATTTGTGTTGAAGGTCGAATATAGAGTCGTTATAATGAAAATATAGAGTAATTGTGGGTGGGCTGCGACGGAAAGGGAAAAGGTAGGTGAAAATATTATTATATTTGCGTTTGCTGTCTCCTGGTTATTATGAATGGTAGGGTTGGTTGTTGCGATCAAATCATCATGATCAGTCAGGGGAAATCAGTGAAATCGGCTACCTCGTGGCCAACAATAGCAGAATTGTCATTTTTGACATGTGTGCCAAAAATAGCATGTGCTAATGTCAATGATTGACCAAACCTTTCCCGACTGTCATAGCGAGATCTCAGCTCCCCAGACCATTTTCCTTCTGAATAACTTACTCTTTTTACTCTTTTTTTTGTAGGTCTTTGCTAAACCAAAATCCTTAGACATAACCATGGCGACCAAGGCAGCTCTTGGTATGGAACTGAACCTGTCAGCGATGAAGAAGGACCTGCAGACTATTCGGACCCTCTGTAGGCAACGTTACCTTCGGCACTGCAGCAAATGGTGTGGGGAGATGCTGATGGCACTACAAGATGTCAATGAAGACCCACAAGAGGTGTGTAGTCACTGATGGCTTCTTAATAATTTATTTGTACAATTTTAACTTATCAGGAGGGCTATTCTTAAACAAGTTAATGCTTCTTGGCAATTTATTATGTAATTAATCATTAGCGTTATGTTTATTGTTGCGTTGATATTGATCTAATGCCACCTGGTTGTTTTTCTTGCTTTCATGCCTTTCTTATTTCTCTGAAAATGATATGATGCTTTATTAAATGCTCTTCTTAATGAGACTACAGTGCCGTACCAACAGTGTTTGAGCCGACACTGCCAGTTAGCAGTAGGTGCAAATACCAAAATCATATACAGAATTTGGTTTTGGTCAGGAAGGCTAATAGCTGGAAAACAGAATGAAGTCAGGCTAGAATAGAATGTATGTGCTTTCTCATGCTTGTCTGTTCCATGTGGTGTCCTCCAATGCAATTGCCATTTGAGCTGTCTTGAATCACGTTCCCCTTTTATTGCCATCACTCTCCTTCCTGTATGCACTCAGTGTGGTATTCCTCTGACGACGCTGTTCCCGCAGCCGGTCGGAGCGGCTCCCCCGCCAGAGCCGGCGGAGGCCGCCGAACTGGAGACTGTGGAGCTGGCACACGACTACCTCACCCTGGGCGAGCTGGACCGGGCCGCCCACCAGAGCCGCCACTGCACCGGCGGCCGCGGACGCTTCCTGCACCTGTACTCGCGGTACCTGGCGGCCGAGCGGCGCCGGGCCGAGGACGCGCCCGAGCCGTTGGCGCCGGCGCCGCGCACCAAGTGTGTGGAACTCACCGAGCTGCGCGCCGAGCTCCAGCCGCTCTGCGAGTCGCCGGCCGGTGGAGACGGAGACGGCTTCATCAGCTACCTGTACGGCGTGGTGCTGCGGCGGCTGGAGCTGCGCGCGCCGGCCGTGCGCGCGCTGACCGACGCCGTGCGCCGGCAGCCGCTACTCTGGCAGGCGTGGCTCGAGCTGGCCGCGCTCGTCACCGACCGGGAGATGCTGGCGCGCCTCCAGCTGCCTGACAACTGGATGTGCCAGCTGTTCTTCGCGCAGGTGTTTCTGGACCTGCAGCTGAACTCGGAGGCACTGGCCATCTACCGGGCGTTTCAGGAGGCCGGGCTGCAGCGGTCCTCCTACCTCAGTGCGCAGATCGCCATCGGATATCAGAACATGCGAGAGGTCGACCAGGCCATCGAGCTCTTCCAGGTGGGTGATAGTGACGGCGGTGGCGGTAGCCTGGGAACGGTGGCAGGTAGTACGAAGGGCGATGTCGAGTTGGGCGGGCAGGTAGTGTCGGATGAGGGGTAGTTACTGTTCAGCTCTGAGTAGCTTTGGCCTGACAGACTTAACACAATCGTTGTAGAAATAAGATATCTGTTTCATCAGAATTATCGAAATATTATTAGGCTCGCTCCAGGTAAAGTAATTCTCAGACGCTTTTTAAGAAGTTTGAACGTCGATGTCGTCAAATCTTGTTTCGCTGATCCTCAGAATCTGCTGAAGGAGGACCCGTGCCGACTGGAGAACATGGATTCCTACAGCAACCTGCTCTACGTCAAGGGCATGCAGGTGGAGCTGTGCAGCCTGGCGCACAACCTCTCCAACATCAACAAGTACAGTGTCGAGACGTGCTGCGTCATCGGCAACTACTACAGCCTCAAGAACCACCACGAGAAGGCCATCCTGTACTTCCAGCGGGCGCTGCGGCTGAACGCCAACTATCTCTCTGCCTGGACGCTGCTCGGCCACGAGTACCTCGAGCTGAAGAACACAAACGCGGCGATCCAGTGCTACCGGCAGGCGATCGACGTGAACCGTCTCGACTACCGGGCCTGGTATGGCCTCGGTCAGATGTACGAGATCCTGAAGATGCCGCTCTATTGTCAGTACTACTACAAGCAGGCGCACCAGCTGCGGCCCAACGACAGCCGAATGCTGATGGCCATGGGAGAGTCGTATGAGAAGCTGGATAAACTGCAGGAGGCCAAACGCTGCTACTGGAAGGCGCACAGCATCGGCGACATCGAAGGTGAGGCGGGAAAGCAGCTGTGATATGGGAATGATAGAGGTTTAGGCAGTAATAGAGAGATGTCGCACTTATCAATCTTTCAGTTGTGTAGGTGGTCCTTGAAGACCATGAACACAGAGCCTTTCGGACGAGTTATTTCACTCTCAAAGCGCTGCGTAGTAATTAACGTAATGTGAATTTTAAAACTGAGCTTTTCTCGGACTGGTCTAAGTATCAATTCGCTTCTGTACTTGCCAATGTTATGGCTAGCAAAGCAGTTGTTATTTCATACCAATTTATCATTACCCTTTCACCCGCACCCACACCAATGCCCACTCCGATATGCTAGCTATACCCAAATCTCTACCCCGCGCTCTAACCCCCAGCCGCCTCATGCAGAACTCGCTCACATTATAACTCTTCCCCGTGGCCGTCCGTTACTGATCTCACTGCTTCTTTCGTCGCCAGGTGTCGCCCTGCTGCGGCTCGCCAAACTATTCGAGCGTCTCTGCGAGCCGATGCGCGCGGCGGCTGCCTATGCCGACTACATCCGCGACTCAGAGGGCCAGGACATCTGGGACCGGGACGAGCAGGCGCAGGCCTACCGCTTCATGGCCAACCACTTCCTACTGCGGGGGCAGCTAGACGAGACGGCTCACCATGCGGCGCGGTGTACCGAGTTCCCCGAGACCCGCGAGGAGGGCAAGGCCATACTGCGTGAGGTGGCCCAGCGGCGGGCAGAGGAGGCGGCCGCGAGGGGCGGGGAGGCACCCGGAGCGACCGGGGCAACCTCAGCAACAGCGACAGCCGCGGGAACGGCGGCGACGGCCGGGCCCAGCGAGACGCCGCTCGGTATGTCACCCCTACCGCCCTATAGGCTACTCTTCAGTCCGTGATGGAAATGGTGCTGATGGGGGGGGGAGGGGGATAGGGAGGGACGTGACCAGAACGTGACGCGTTCCGTGACTTGACAATGAGCGTCCAGGTGGGCAAGGTGACGCGCTTTTCCCGAGAAATATATGTCTGGTCATTTCGTACGTAAGCTGTCGTTTTGCCCTAGAGCTCATGCTTGGAATGAGGCGAGCTTTGAAACAGACTGGCAAACGATAAATCGTGATATGATCGTGATACCGCGACATCTTTTGCCCTCGGTCCGGACAGAATACAAGCGGAGACGACATTATTCTGACAAGCAGGGACGTAATTTAGTCTGTGGTCTTGCGACGGCACGTACTAGGAATGTCTAGGTCTACCTTGCCGAGTCTTGTAGCGTTACTTAGGGCTACGGTGGCCGCAAATCCGCACGCTTTTTGTTTTGTTTTATATGTAGCGTGTCGCACTCACTTGTATTTGCTTCCCGATCAAGATAACAATTCAGTACAGGTGCCGCACTCTCTGCGCTCGGCTCCGATCACACACTGCCCTGCGACCGGTCAGCGACCTCCGCCGGCAGGCAGATAGGCCCGTCCTCTACGATCGAACACCGAAAGTTGCAGTTCTTACTCTTAACACTAGTTGAACGCCTACACCACATCCCTCAATAAACAAGAGCGAACACAAAAGTCACAAAGCGCCTACACCACATCCCTCAATAAACGAGAGCGAACACAGAACCACAGCTTCCAAATACGACCTACACATCGCAACAGAAACACGGGTGACAATCGGAATGCATCAAGTCAATAACTGTCGCAGAACTTAATACAGTCGGAAGGCACTGCGATCAGAGCTCTTCCCGAAACACACGGCACATTGCATCAGGAACGAATCACACTATGGCACATAATAATCTGGCGGACGGATAGTGCGAGCGGAACGACGAAGCGGAATCAGAACTGTCGTCTCGTGAGTCTCCTTACTGACAGATGGCAACGAAAAATGCACTTCTGGATTCGGAGACCACACCGACCCATCTGCAGCCTTAACTCGAGAAAATCCGCCAGTGTCCTCCTGCGACCCCTGTGCACCACGCTCGGCCGATTCAGCGCCCTCTGAAACGGGCTCCGCTGTCTCAGCGTGCCACAATCGCGGCTTCAGCCGGTTGTGGTGCACTGTGAGAATCTTTCTACTGCCTTCTACCTTTATTCTATAATTTAAATCGCCCACCTTGGAAAGCACTTCTGCTGGTTTCCATGGGCGCACAAACTTATGGTATTCACCCCTTCTGACGACTTTCCTGTATAAGAACACAGCGTCACCAGGTGAGTATTCACGTTCGACGGTTTTACGGTCATACAACTCTTTGTTTCGCTCGTGAGCCTTGTCAGCGCGACTGAACGCTAGCGTGTGCATTTTCTGCAGACCCTGACGTAGATCGTCGACATATCGTGAGAGCGTTTGTGTACTGGAGCCCTTTGGAACTGAGCCCAGCTCAGCCTCTAACGGCAGCCTGGTATCTCGTCCCATCATTAGCATGTACGGTGAGAAGCCCGTGCTGTCGTGCACTTGGGCCCTGTAGCCAAGTAAGAGAAGCGGAAGGTGCCGATCCCAGTCTGCATGATTGGCTTCTAGATGGCGAGCCAGCATGTCTAAAATAGTCTTATTTACTCTCTCGCACACCCCATTGCCCGCCGGCTAGCCAGGTGATGTCTGTGTCTTTTTAATACCAAGCAATCGACACATTTCGGTGAAGACAGACCCGCAGAAGTTAGCTCCCTGGTCCGAGTGAAATGATTCAGGCACGCCAAACTGGGCAATAAACTCGTTAACCAAGACCTCTGCAATCTCAGTCGCTTCCTGACTCTGGAGAGGATACGCAGATGTCCATTTTGTGAAGTGATCTATTACGACCAGAATGTGTTTGTGGCCTGACGGTGTTTCAGGCAGGTTGGAGCAGCGACCCGAAAGAAGCGTCGTCAGTGATGACGCTCGGCGGTATTTTTATCAGTTCCGCCGGCTCAGGCTGGCAGACGGGCTCGTCTGCCGGCTGTTTAAAAGGTTTCCGCGAGCAGCTAAGAAGAACTGCAGGTCGTGGTTCCCAAACACTTGACCGAAGGTGTGTTGGAATCGCTGCATTCCGGTGCGGCGGGAGGCCACTTCAGTGCGCAGAAGTTGGTGAAACAGGTTCGGCTCAGATTTTGGTGGCCGGGTTTGGAGGACGACGCTGTTCAGTTTTGCCGACGCTGCGAGCGCTGTGCGACTCGAAACACGCCCGCACCGAAACCCCGAGCTCCGCCGGCAGGCAGATAGGCCCGTCCTCTACGATCGAACACCGAAAGTTGCAGTTCTTACTCTTAACACTAGTTGAACGCCTACACCACATCCCTCAATAAACAAGAGCGAACACAAAAGTCACAAAGCGCCTACATATATGAAAGTTCTTTGTTGGCGCTTCTTGGAGTCTCGGCTCTTGCCGGTGTGACCTTAATTGACCCTTGCACCTGATTGGCGAATCGGCACCCATTGAGGACTCGGCCGTAACCGAGCAGCAACATTACGTAATGTAATTTCGCAGTAGCTGCGGTTGATCGTGTGCCAGTCATCCAGCATTCATGTGCAGCATTCTGTGAATCAGAATGGCGCCAATCCCTCTTCCATTGCACTTTTGTCAGTGTGTTGGCGGATGAATGAATTTGGACGGTCACCGGTCACGTTCACGGTTCAGGTCAACTGTCATCAGCCGATATGTACCCTCACCTAAATCGGAGCAAAAGTATGCATAATGGACCTGGCGACATCCAAGGTGTCTGATCCATTTGAAGACTCGATTATACAGCTCGGAAAGATATGGGCGGTACAAGAGCTTGACACAAAGCCGGCCGAATAAGATGCAAAGAGCGCTGCACAAAGCCGGCTGAGTAAGATACATCGGCTGGTGTCCACCCCGTTTATCATTCTGGAAGCTGTGACATGACGTACGGTACCGCCCCCGGGTTACTCCTGGGTGCCGCACTCAGTTTATTCCCGTGGAGCCAGCAAGGGGTAGCTCGGAAATTCACGGAGGCTGGGTGTAAGGTGAAGGACCCACTCGAGGATGATAACGCCAGGGAGTAGATCGAACACCGTAAACCCTTACTGAAATTGAGTACAAATCGATTGATGACGAGGGCGTTGGTATAAATATAGACTTTTTCAAGAGACCAATCACAAGCACAGCCTCGCATTGAAGGCCATTTCAGTGAGCTGGTACCAAAATTGGTTCACCGTTCATTGCGCTATTTCAGGCGGCGAAAGATGATGTTTGTGTTGGAGATCGTTTATTACAAGAATGTTCACAGATGATGTATAATGGTCGCCAGTAAAGAACACTGTGGCGTAGCTATATCGGGAAGAACGGTCCGGAACACACCCGGCGGAGCACCACACTCGGGGGGAGGAGGAGGGCGAGAGAACACGAAGATACGAGATGAGGGAATTTTGCGGGAGTTAGCAAGGGAGGTTGGATGAAAGGATGTACTGGATAGGGGAGGATAATGCAGGGAAAATAGAAACAGGAGGGTGTCGTAGTGTGATAAAGAACACAGATGTAAGCAGGATATATACGAGTATATCCAATGAGGGATATTGGATACAGGACGGGCGTAGGACGTGATATAGACCCTCAGGGTCACGAGAGGCGGGACTAGGGACGAGGGGATGCGCCGGGCGCGCGCGGAGTATCAGTGGACAGTGGTCCGGCCACACACTGAAGTGGAGTTCCACCGCGGGTGGACAGACCTGTGTCGGTGGAGCGGAGCGGACGGCCGCCCGCAGCTCCCCCTACCGGTTCCGGCCCGCTAGACAGTGTGGACCGGCGCAGCTGGACACGAGTGTCGCAAACGCAGGACATTCACTACTTTCGCACAGAGTAGGTCCAGTTGTACAAGAAAATGAAAGAGCACCGCGGCGCAGCAGCGAAACATCACGCTCGCAAAATGAAAAGACGTCTGAACCTGAGTCGCCTTCCGCCCTGTCACTCACGCTGGCACTCACAAACGGCGTACCCAATCTCTGATCGGCACGGCACTCTGACTCGGGCGTTCAGAGTGTATCTCAGCACACACATTTAACACGGAACAAGTGACATGCATACGCTACGCTCAAGTGTTGACGTATTTTCTACAACACTCAATAAATTACGGTTAAAATATTGGCGTGTATGTGAGCAGAAACACTGCCCACCAATGCTCGCGCCGTCATTAACCTAAAATAAACCGGCCACTTTTCTCGCCATAAGCGAGCAGACTCGCGCACACGCACACACAAGCGGCTTCAGCTCGAAGCGCCGCCATCCTTTCTCCAAACGCACTAACACACACACACACACATACATCAACACACATTACGGGAGCAGCTAGAAAGACGCCCCGACGCCCTCCGTTCCACGTTTCACTCTGGCAAGAACACGCGTCGACCCCGATGGCCGACGACCGTCGACCCCGATGGCCGACGACTACCCTTCCGCGTCGGTCAAAGATCCTTCCCGGGCGACAGACACCTAGCCCGTACCGTTCCCTCCCCAGTGTCGGCAAAGACTGAGACAGGACGGCTCCCTTTCCACATCAGCAGACACTGAGACAGTTTATCTCCTCCCGGGGATCAGCACTGACCGCGCGGCTCTCTCCCTGTCCTCCCGCTGCCGCCGGTCCCACCTCACGGTGTTCCCTGGCGCTCGGCCGGCCGGGCCGCGGCAGATACCAGCCCATAACACATTGGCCAGTTCGACTATCCAGTCACCGGCCGACGCCGCACAAACATCGAGCTGGCCGCACTTATGTGCATAATATTTGGGCGTCGATGTGTCCGGGCGTCGCGCGCCGGCCACGCGCCACGTGCCACGCGCGAGCCAGTGTGTGTATGTGTGTGTATATGTCTGCTGGCAGGTGTGGTCAGTGTGTGTGCGCAGTTTGGGGGACCTTGACCGGCCGGCCGGCGCGCTGCAGGGCGCGGCGCGGCGGCAGACGGCTCCCGGCGACCTATCACAGCAATGGGGTCGGCGCGCCGCCGTGGCGGCCGGGCGCACCGTGCCGTCGGCAGCGCGCGCCCCTTTGTACATGGCACGGGGCCGCGGCGCCCGCCGGGGCAGGGCCGCGGCTGGCTCTCTGACCGGGCGCCGCCGGCTAGTGGCAGCCGCAGCTATCCACTATCATGTTGGGCAGCTTGTCGAACCTGGCGGACAGAGCGGGACACCGTCAGTAAAGGGACGACAGATAGGTCACATAAAACAGCACAGCACACATTTCAGCCTAAACATTCGACGTCAAAAGACAGCCAAAGGGCTATGACTTATGAAACGTCGATAACTTTTATTGTAGCGTGAGAACAAACAATAAATAAATTGATTTTATTGTAGTGTGCATCATACAAAAATATATGAAGCTTAGCAGAAGGCTAAGAATTGGGACGTTAGGACGGTGAGGTCAGTGCTAAGGTGGGATTTTCTGTCACTCCTTAATAAGCTCACATAAGCGCAATGCTTTCTGAGGGTCAATATCCCTAACCGTTTACATTTGGAAGTTTCGTTAGCGACCTAGGGACAGCAATTCGAACACCGGAAGTCGCTTTCACCCACCCCAAATTTACCCAAATAGCTGGTGCAATGCAAGCAGCAACCGAAGCTCGTGAGGAAGTCGGAAGACCATTATTTTATGCCGGCCTCTACTTCCAAATTGAACAGCCGGCTGACATGCTGTCCCGTCGTGACCGAAAGCTGTGCCTCGGCGTCGTAAAACTGTGGCCTGCAGCTGCTGGTCGGCTCCGTCGTTCCGTCGCATTTCGGTACCTACGCTCCAAGGACCCGGCGAATTTCGTTTGAGGGCTTTAAAATGCGTCCGAGACCGGGGCAGACTGACCGGGAGCGTTGACGACCTTTTTATAGGTGCCAATTAGGGGCCAAGCCGCCGCCGGGTGGCCGCGACCTGGCGGAGACAGGCGAGGGGTGCACTGGGAAATCGGACGGTCGACGGGCCGCCACCTGGCCGGAGCTACCGACAGGGAACGCCACTGTCACGGGGGGCCAAGGAGGAAAGGATAAGCACTGAGCAGAACGAGAGCCTAGAAGTAATTTCATCGAGTGAGCTAGTGAGTGAGTGAGTGGCAAATGAATGAAGGAGATAAAGGAAGATTTGGGACGGTAAGAAATAATGTAATTAGAAAAGTAGAAAGGAAATAAGATGAAGAAAACACGGGAAGAGCGAAGAATTAAAGACAGGCAAATATCTCTCAAGGATGGATGCACCTCTCCGTTTAACTTCCCACAGTTGATGTTCGTTACATAACCCACCTGATGTGGCTGAAGGTGTCCCAGTAGAGCATGTGGATGGGCGACAGTTTGCGCGGTCCGCAGCACGGGCCACTGGTGCCGCCCACCTGCTGTACGATGTGCGTGTGCGGGTATTTCTGCAGGTACACGTACGGACAGTTGCCCGAGCAGTAGTTGGCGTGGTAGGAGCTCGGCGCGATGATCCAGTCCCAGCCGAACGCGTGGAAGTCGACCACCAGTGGGAAGCGGCAGCAGTTGGTCTCGGTGCTGTTGTCCGTGCAGAAGTTGCCGCCCGTCGTGCGCTTGGTGCGCCGTCGGTCGGAGCTGACATGTACCTCCAGCACGGGCAGCTGATGACGAGAGGGGCGGCACAGTGGTCAGCACGTGTCAAATCAATGGGTCAAGGTCAGGGTCATATCTGTTTCGACTCACAGCACCTTCAATTAATTACCATACCCAGTACCCACACCGTGCAGCTGTCTGTTGCTGGTCTTACCGACCACCAAAAACCCAATTAATTACCATACCCACACCGTGGGGCTGTCTGTTGCTGCTTCTACCGACTACAATAAACCCAATCACCTGCTGCTGAGCAATTGGATACTCTACTAAAACACTTTGGTCGATACTTAACTTCTGGTCTGCTCAGGAGATTGCTCCTTCCTCCCTGCGTCTCCCTCACTTACCAGGTCAATATCGTCGCCATCGACGTCCAGGAAGCTGTTGACCGACAGGCCCCGGGTGGTGCCATTCGACGACGTCTCGATGCGGATGCCGAAGTTCTGCTGCGGGTCCCTGAACCAGTCCAGCACCAGGTTCTTCACGTCTATCGTCTCGTAGCCGGACGCCTGGCCATGCCGCCGTTTGATGTAGGTGCGCATCGCCTCCTTTTGGATGTAGTTGCCGCGCTCGTCCGAGACGAGCTGCAACAAGAGAGGTGTTTGTGAGTGGAGCTGAGAGAGCGGACCGGGAGCCGAGGAAAACTCGGTAAAGTAATGCTAAGAAGTGGGAATGAAAAGAAATATTAGTTATTTAGGTGTACACATGGTGGAGGAAAATATTTTCTCGTAACTAGCCTATCATGTCCCGTGATTTCTTTAGAACAATACACCTCTTACAAATCGTCAGCTGCGCCAAAGTTGCTGCGTCATGGCCTCCGAACATAGGTGTAACTCACTCACCGTCGATAATCTGTCGATATGCCAAAGGCTGACAAAAGGTCGATAAATTAATTCAGTGATCCCTGTTCATTGGTTCAGGTGCGCACTACGCAGCCGTCGTCCGCACAACGGGACGGTCCGGTTTCTATTTTTGGTGGCGGTCAGACTGTTTTACTTTCCATCCGCTCGTCCCGAACGTCACTATCCATGGGTGTACTTCTTTTATCATGAGTATCTTTTATCCTAACCCGCACACTCTCCGCACACTCACAAAATGGTGGAGTTTGGCCGGACAATCAAACAATGTTCCGGTAGCTGGAACCACTCGAAACAAACTATAAACGACAGGCACAACTCGTTACGAACATCTGTTAACCCTATTCCTGGCGGGCTCCGCCGGGACAAGAAACTGGCGGGGGGGGGGGGCCGATTCGGCCCCCCCTTCAGATCTCAAAAACTACACATCGCAGCGACAAACGGTAAACGGCATCGGATACGCACGGTCAAGATCTACAATTTTTACTAAGGTCATTTTCAGGTCAGGTCAAAGATGACGTCACAGGGGTCGAAAAAGTCAAAATGGCGGCGCTAGATATGGAGAGAGTTTTTCTCGAATAACTTTCGAATTAGTCAAGATAAAAACAAACTAAGGGCATCATCGTGATCCTCTCGTCAATCCGCATCGAATGATATATATGTTGACCTCGAAAGGTCAAGGTCAAAGGTTGACCTCAGGTCACGTGACCTCGAGGTCATCATGCATATCATTCGATGTGTCTTGACGAGCTGAACACAATGAGACCATCCACGCGTCTGCATCTTGTTCCTGTACGGAGTTATTGGCCAAAAACCTTTGGTGACCTTTGATGACGTCACATGACCTCACAGCTGCCCAACAGCAAAACAGACCACAAGGTAGTGAAGGTTGATCGTATATGAAGTCATGTATGGTATATGGGGCCATTCCGACCCGTTTTAGTGGTAAAAACAGGGAGTTGATTTTTCCCCCATTGACTTATAATGGGGAGGTCGCGAAACTGACCTGACCTTAGGTCACCGATATCAAAATTCCGAGATATACAAATTGCACATACTGGTACCCTAACTAAAGCCTGAAGAGAAGAAATTGATCGGTCAAAAACTCTAGCTCTGGCGTGATTGCAAACTTTTCTGAGGTAGGGTCACCAAACCGCCTCTGGTGACCTGACCTGAGGTCAGATCAACTCAAAATTTTCAGACATGTTGCGTAGAAGCCTTTAAGGAAAAGTCAGAAAATTTGAGCTTCCTAGCTCAACGCGTTTGGGAGAAATAACCAAAAAACCTCAGGGGGGGGGGCTCCTGAGCCCCCCCCCCCCGCCAGGAATAGGGTTAAATGCATAAAGATAAATTGGTGATGCAAATCAGGCATCTGTAGGCCCGAGAGCGCGAAGTTTATATCGAGTCCAACAAATGCGCCCCATTCAGTCGCGGTACAATGAACTTCCCCGCATAGTAGTAGTTGTAGTTTATTAAAGAGCCATCCACAAGACAAGTGGCTATTATGGCCTTCACGTCAATAAAATCGGATCATAACATGCAGGGTAAAATACACACTCACGATGTTACACAACCTAAAATATACATATAGCTCAGGATAAAAAACACCACCTGCACGGCATCATGATTAAAAACGCGTTCATCACGTGTCTCGTCTCGAGAGTAGGTGGGCCTTCAGGGCTCGCCTGAACCGCGGACCTCGCTGGTTCCGCACCGACATGGGCAGATCGTTCATGAGGTGGGGAGAGCGGTATACAAACCGTCGCCGGCCCGCCTCCGAACGGATGGGTGGCACGTGCAGGAGATCGTCCTGTCTGGTGTGCCGGACATGGCCATGATGGTCCCGGTTGAGGCAGACCTGACGGGCGATGCATTCGGGCTGGCTAGAGGAGAGGACTTTGTCAAGGAGGCAGAGGGATTGGTATTGGAAGAGTTGAGACGAGTCGAGCCACCCCAGCCTGTCTCGCACAGCTGACACGCGGTCAAACTTTCGTTTTCCCGCGATCACGCGAGCCGCAAAGTTGAGCAGCTTCTGGATGGTTGCGAGGTTGCCAGCGCTGCCGCTGCCGTAAACAGAGAGGCAATAGCGGATGTGCGAGACGGCCAGGGCGGTGACTATCTCGGGAAGGGTGTCAGGAGGAAGGAAGTGGCGGAGGTGGGATAGTGTTGCGAGGATACCGCAGCATCTACGCGAGACAGCCCTCACGTGCGCGTCCCATGACAGGTGCTGGTCGAAGACCACACCAAGATTTTTGACCTCAGGCATACCCGTACCTACATAGGCTGCCGGCCTCAGATCGGACTATCCGGAAATTGGTGTATTTCCAGTCAATGAACGCATCACAGCGCCTATCATGGAACTTTCCATCATTGACCGACAGTCTTGTCGAACGTCCCAATGACGAGGATCCCGTCGGCACCTGTCACCTGGCCTCCTGACTCGCTCTTCTTCCAGCAATCACCATGGCAACGTGCCTGCGGCGCGGCGGCGGCCGTCCAGACGCTGTCATTGACCGACCAACCGCTAATATCGGCCAGTGGGCAGACGGCCGCGCTGATTGCCGGGCTGCTTTATAGAGGCCTGACACGGAGGTGGGCCGGTCCCGGCCGGCGCGGCCGCCGTCACCCCAACACGCCGCGGCCCCGGCCGCCCGGGCCGCTGTTATGCAATGTTACCCACTCATGAGACGGTGCTGCAACGCCACCACCTGCGACTCACCGTACGGGAAGGCTGGAGAGCCCTTACGGAAACGGTAGCGATTCATGCGTGCAGTATAGTCATAGGGACGTTAGTCGCTTACGGAACGGTGCACCGTTCCGTACCAACTACCAGACTCTGTCTGGTTGTAATCATAGGCGGCGGAACGGGAAGGGCACTGGGGCACCGTGCCTTTACTTTTGGCAATTTAACATTAGCCCTATGGGCGTTGCACGGAAAGAATGGGACCAAAAGTGGGCAGTGCCATTCCCCCCCCCCTTGATTGAAGGTGTTCCGCCGCTACTGGTTGTAATTATAACAAGTGTTGTGCCACATGGGTCAAACTGACGTTTCGCATCATACGTCAATTATTTTCATTTCATATTATCAATTGAACCGCAAATCACTGCACCCAATACTTTTTTATACATAGATTGTGAAGGAAAATGATGGCTTCAGGGCAGTTGCTGCAGTCCGTTTTAAATATTGACTTCGTCACTAAATGGGTTATCCCGTCGGCGATCTTTTGAAATAAGTAAATGAATAAATAAAATAAAGGCACTTGTTGAAGATAACTTTTTGCTTTATCGATACCGTTCATCCAACACAAACACCAGTAAAAATATAGGTACGGAACAGTGAATAAATATGTATATTGTTCATTTTGACAAATGTTTACTTTAATGAAAAACAATATCAATAGTGAATAAATAAATGCTATGCTGTCTGATCCATGCCATCTCCGATTTTACAGGGGGAAATGCAAAAATGTTACATTTTAGACTCCTTATGTATAAGCAGCGAAATTGCTAGAGCACGCCAATTACGCAACTCCTGATGCCGTATATATCCCAGATGCATAAACTGCGGAACACTTTAATTAGTTACCATTATTTCGTATGTCTCATCGGTATTTCCAGCAACAACGCGACATATACCAGCGACAAAACTGTTTCTGTATCCACCCACAAACATAAACACAGAGTCTATCTTTACTTGTCCCCACTTCTTGCCCTAGCGATCTTCCATGTTCATTAGGTATGCCGTTTTTGCCGCGGACGGACAGGGGTCGGTACCGGGAGCAGTGACGCGCGTCGTGCCAGTTCTTTGGACGGTGCTGGTGCGTGGCGGAATGCGGACAAATATAGCGACCGCAGAGCGCACCCTTCCAAGGACAAACACTTGCTTCAGGCCGAGCTGTTGCTAGGCAAATCGAAACCACCAGCAGCACGCTATTGGGCGCGATAGGTGTCACAAACAAAGGAAAACACATTTTGAACGAGTTTTTCGGACCCAACTCGTACAGAAAGGTTGTGATTTTATCTCTGGATCTCTGTAAACGTTTAACTCGTCGTTAATTAAGATAAGACAAACAAGCGGGAGGCCCGGCCAAGCCATTAAAATAAGCGGACAGTGTGTCGCCTCCGGATCGGGGTGTCGCTCGCTTGCCTTTTGAAAGGCATTCTTAATAGGATATCTATCCGCTTTGTTACGATTCCAAAAATTGGGATGATCGAACACTATCCTATCGGGGCGTAACCAACCAACACCAATATAATGCACTAAATATCTCACAGTTCTTATGCACACCCAAGGAGGAGCAGTGATCAAGCAGTTTGAAGCAGCATAAAAGCCTCTGGGAAGGCGAAGAAGAGTTGACTCCTCTCTTACCTTGTGGATTTTGACTTTTATGTCGCGATGCCGCTTGCGAACAAAGAGCCAGAGTGTGGCGTTCTGCAGGTCCATTTCTGTGATGCTGGGAGAGAGGTCGAAGTAGAGCAGCTGGTCTCGCAGCTCGTCCTGGGCCAGAGCGCCGTTACCCACCGCCAGCGGGGCTGTAACAGGCAACAGGTGCAGGTCAGTGGTCGGCCATCAGTGGTCAGCGGTCACTGCAGTCAGTAGTAAGTGGTCAGTGGTCAGTGGTCAGAAGTCAGTGGGCAGAGGTCTCTGGTTATTGGCCAGAGGTCAACATGTACCTAATCAATGGACGGTAGTCAATGACCAGTGACCCAGCGGTCTGCTGTGCCGTGGTCAGTGGTCAGAGGTCGGTGGTCACTGGTCTTCTGTCGTGGTGTTGTGGTCAGTGGCCCCAGATCACTCTGAGGGTCTCACATCTCTGACTCACAGTGCGGCCGTATCTCAAGGTGTGTGTACTGTGTACTCTGGTATACAGTACGGATGCACCGAGTGTGGGTCGGCATGGGTCCAGACGGACAAACGGCCCAGCTGGCGCCATCCCCGATCTTCCCTCCTGCCCCGTCCAGGCCCGCTGTTTGGGAGTGACCGATCGGCCGGCTGTGTAGGTCAAAGGTCGCCGCCGCGGTCATTAACCTGACCGTAACCTTTGGCACGGCCGCCAGGCCGTCCGGCTGTCCTTGACGCGGCCTTGTCGCCAGCAGGACCGCCCTGCCCCCGCCTGGTCAGCACCTTCCTCCAGGTGCGGTCATCTCGTCACAACCCTTTACCGTCCGTCAGCAGATCACCTTGGTTATTTGATGGGGCACGAGGAGCTATATTGTCAACCTCCATCCGCTATGGCAATCGGAACAACAGACTCGACCTGTAATTGTGATCACCTGACACGGCCATTGAAGCACTTGAACACCACGTATAGTGTCGGAGCACACCTCCGGTATTCTGACGCCGTTCGGGTATTTGAGGATTCCAGCAGCTACTGTTTACCCTGCCTGGCGACGCGTCGTCGACGAACGAGTCAGTCATGCTAGTCGCGCACGTAATTAATGCCCAAACTGCCCAGCTCGGGACGTATAAACACAGTCGTAATGAGTCCGTGTCCGGCCGCTGCACCCGGCGCCGTCCGACAGCATCGACAGCTCCCCAGCGCTCGGTGATCTCTGATAGCGCCGTGGTGGCCCAGAATGCCGCATATACGGAGCTGCGGCCGACAGCGCGCGGGAGCACCACCGTGCCGGGGGTGGCCGGCGGGTCAGCTCGCCCAGAGAGGCGCCGACACGGGCCGAGCGCCGTCCGATTTGGACCGAGCCGCGCGGCGCGCAGCTCTCGCAGCGCCGGACTCGGCGATGACAGCTCTGATAGCGCCCAGATCGGTCCCTCCAACCTCCCCCGCCGCCCTTCTGGATGGACCCGGTGACCAGGCCCGGTCTGACCCCTCCACGCAGTCCAAGAAGGTGCATGCTTGCTCTTAGTGGTGCTTTCATCTTTGCTACCCTATCGGCGGCGACAGCTGGGCATGATTGACTTGATGAGGGTAGCTGGTAGAAACCCCTATCGTTGACAGTGTTAAAGATTGCTGTGCTGTCGGCAGTGCTACGCTGGCGAATCGAGCCTTGAGGCTCTTCGTCTTGTGCCGGACAAGAGATAAGAGGAGAGGCGACTATTTCTCTGCTGTCCGGCAAGAAAGGAAGCCGGGAGGCGATCCACAGATTCCTGCCGTCGAACAGCAGCCAGAAGGGGTAGTGAATCCTCCTCTACTGTCGGACAAGAAAGGAAAGCTCCTCCTCTCCCGTCAGCAGGGGTGGTAGCTCGTCAGTCTCCAATCAGGGTGACTGGGCACGCCAGCCGGTTGCAGCGCGCGGCCTTGTGAGACCTTGATGCGGCTCCGATAGAGGCCAGCCCGCGACACCGAGGCGCCAGCCTGGCCGGCCCAGCCGCTCGGGCAGGCGCGGGCGGAGGGCACTCGCCACCGGTCACCGGTCACAGGCGCCGTCCCCGGCCGCCTATCAGCTGGGCGCATCGGCACCGTCCTTCGCAAGGTCGCGCGGCCGCCACCCTGCGCTGGCGAGGTGACGCTTTTTGCCGGCGGCACCGGCCGATGGCAGGACCCGTGGCGACGGCTCGGACGCGCCGGTCACTCAGGCGTCCATGCATTATTGAGGCCGGAGCGGTGCCGGCCGGCCGGCGGCCGCTCGTCTGTACTGATCGGCGCCTGTGATCGGAGGCGCCGACACACAGCCGGTCGGACATCAGCAGCGCCGCCCCGGTGACGCCCCCGCGCCGACATGTGCACGGTATGTCAGCTGACGCCCCGCGGTGGCATGTGCACGGCAGTGTCGGATCAGACGCCACAGCGTGGCGCCCGCTTCAGAGAGAGGCGCGGGTCAGGCCCAGTGGCGGCAGAACAAAGCGCAATAGGTAGCTGCATTGCGAAAGGTGGACGAATCATGGTTCGTGCACTACAACCCATGACAAGACGGCAACATTTACCTATTGAAAGAACGATAAAGCCATGAGATGTCGAACTTGGACAACCAAGAGCCTGTGTAACTAAGCTAGCACACACGAAAGGGAAGTGACTTTTTAAAATAGCATGTTTAGGTACTAGGGCCCGATCAAAAACGAGCCCATGTAGAGTTATGATGCAAGCGGGGCATTGTTGACGACAACAAAGGTATTTTCACCATCTGTTAGCGTAAAATTCTTACGAAGAAACTGGTCGTCTTCTTCTTCCCTGGACCATTTTGCGGCGCATTTTCTCCAACAGTACTGCTCGTATTTTTGGAAACTGTTATATTTATTTAATATAAATGAAAACGTTTCTGTAAGCGCTGAACACCGACAGTTGTAGCTCAGAGAGAAGCCACGCGTCCCGAGTCCATTGTGATGTCTGCGTATTTGATGAGTTTGACCAAAACCAGCGGCGCGATGTCAGAGCCCTGTGGAACTCCGTTCCCATTGTTCCGTCAGTAGGCGGGAGAGCAGCGGAGGTGATAAGTGGAGCGAGCTGCCGTTTATGAGGCGCCTGTTCGCCCCGCGGGATCCCCGACGGCCTACCTCAGCTAGGGACCGCTCCGTGTGGGGAAAGCACCGGTTCCGTATTCGAGAGGGCGCCCATCGGAGTGAGGGTTGGACAGGACCCACCCGCCCGGTCTCCACTCTCCAGCCGCCGCCGAGCGACGCTCCTCTCCTAGCCGCACTGCGCAGTGCACGCATCAATGGGTGGGTGGCCGCTGGCAAACCGTTAGACAGAAACGCCTCGTCTGAAAACGACGTCTTGCCACGCGCAACATTGTAGTCCACGTGCCAGACATCGGCCGGCCGGCCCGCAGGCATCAGTCGCTCAGAAGTCGGGCACGAGATAAGGGGTGTTGATGCAGAGCTTCCCCGGGGCTCGGCGGCGTACTCCGAGCGACCGATCCTCCACAGGAACAGCTGGAAGCTGGAGAGAGGGGGAGAGAGGTAGGAGGAGGGAGAGAGCTGGTGTTCAGCGAACAGTGACGACACGTGTTGCTAGTTGAAGCAGTGTTGACTTTCCAGGCCACATCTCGCACGGTGGCAATACTTCTTCGGAAGTTTGGAAGAAACGATAACATCAAGATACTTTGAATCGCCAAGCTTTGATCGGCATTACCATCGTCATTCCTATACTGGAGTCCTACACTTCGTGAGGTAACAAAAGTCCAGTGCTTCAAGCTGTCCAGCTTTGGCGTGAGAATTTTGCTTGTTCGTAGCTGCTGGCCGTGTGTATCCGTGTCCAATGTTACATGTCCAAAGCTGCCATCAGGGCTCCTGATTTGCGTCCGGTTGGCGCCTCGCGGCGTGCCAGCATCGCACCCGGGATCTAAGCCGGAACTTGACGAGCTCAGCGCGTCACTCAGCCCCTGGACAATGTGAAAGCATCGCAAAAAAAGCTCAGCGGCCGCACCGGTTCCCGCGGCAGTGGCTGTCGCCGCGGGTAGCTGGCTGGAGCCCCGCTGTCACCCGGGTAGAACGTTCCCGGAATCGGGGCCGCCGTTCCCGAAAGTCCCGACCGGTTAGCCGTGCGCGGCAGGCAGTAGGGCTTGTCGTCCGATCGCGGAGGACACGACCGCCGATCGGGCGAGACACGACCGCCGACCGACCGGCAGCATGCAATACGCCAACGTAGTGCTGTAAAGCATGCAGGGAGCGCTGAGGATGAATCGCTTTCAGACACGACATGACATTCAGAAGTGATTAAGTTGCAGATATGTTTTCAAGCGCGGCGCATTCTCGCAAATCTGGCAGAGTGACCCCCTGAATTCAACCACAAGGTGGTCTATGTAGGTGCTTTGTTCTACCTACTTGAGAAATGCGGCGCATAGTTTTCGTCGAAGAGCCATTAATTGCTCCAATCGGGCTTCTTGTTGAGTCTTGATCCCTGCGACTGTCACAACTACAAGTTTCCCGGACCCGGAAGAAGCTGACCGGCATAGTTTGGCAGTAAAAAACATCTTACCGACCTTTACAGCCCTTCCTTCAGTTGCCAGAACGCAAAAAAAGCTCGAAGCGGACCTTTAAGTTCTTCGAGCACGCCCATCCCAGGCGTGCTGGGATGGGCTCATACGGCATACCTTTTGTCTGGAGCTGGGATGGGCTTATATGTATTGTCTGGAGGTGGGGAAGAGAAGACGACGCATCACGCAGCTAAATATCAAGCAACAGGCAGCATACCCTAGAGTGGACTCATGATGTTCCCACACATATTACCTTCTTACCTACATGTCTAGTGCGCGGGTAACTAAAAATCATCCTAAAATACGGATTTTGTAAAAAAAAAAAAAAAAGAGACTTGTATGTAGGTGTTGTGGGAAATAGAAATCCTTGAAAGGCATCGGCTTAACATTCCATGCAGAGTCGGACACTGAGTCCGCTTTTCAACTACAAAGTAGCACAAAGCACGGCATGAGTTGCTAATTTTACGAAACATCTGTCAGTTCACATTTTTGTTGGGGTTTTCACATATAAGCTTTACATTTTGATGGTAGTACCGTAACCCTGGAAAGACATAATGCACGATTTTTAATAAAGTCATTTAGTAATCTGACAACGGTGCATATGAAATTACAATATTAGAGAGAAGGCTGACCACAAATGCGCATTTACACCGGAACCAACG